TAGGAGGGGGATCGGCCACAACGATCGCCGGTACCCTTCCCTAACCTCACACTGGGAGAAGTAGAGAGACAGCTCTTTGCGGCAAAGTCGTGGAAAGCACCCGGAGAGGACGGTCTGCCGGTGGCAGTGTGGAAGCACACGTGGCCAGTGGTGAAGGAGAGGGTGCTTACACTCTTCCAGACCTCACTGGATGAAGGGGTGTTGCCGAGGCAGTGGCGACACGCAAAGATCATCCCGCTGAAGAAGCCAAACAAAAGCGACTACGGTATAGCGAAGGCCTGGCGACCGATCTCGCTTCTCTCGACGCTCGGAAAAGTGCTGGAGTCGGTCCTGGCAGAACGTATCTCGCACGCTGTCGAGACGTTCGGCCTCCTTCCCACGAGCCACTTTGGCGCTCGCAAGCAGAGGTCGGCAGAGCAGGCGCTGGTACTGCTGGCAGGAGTACATCTACAGAGCGTGGAGAAAGAGAAAGGTGGTCAGTCTGGTCAGCTTCGATGTCAAGGGAGCATACAATGGTGTGTACAAAGAGAGACTACTTCAAAGACTCAGAGCGCGGGGGATCCCGGACAAGCTGGTGAGATGGGTGGACGCCTTCTGCTCCCATAGAACGGCAAGCATCCTGGTTAACGGTCACGAGTCCGAGGCTCGTCCGCTACACAGCCGGACTGCCTCAGGGTTCGGCCGCTTTCGCCCGTGCTCTTCCTCTTCTTCAACGCCCGATCTCGTACAGCACCAAATCGACGAGAACGGGGGCGCGCTGGCCTTCGTCGATGACTACACGGCGTGGGTCACAGGCCGATCGCGCGAAGCAAACCGTCAGGGCATCCAAGATATTATCGATCCGAGCACTCGCGTGGGAACGACGAAGCGGGGCGACGTTCGAGGACGGACAAGACGGCCATCATCCACTTCACGCGCAACTGGAGGCTGCCGGCGGACTCAACCAGCTTCGTCATCAAAGGTGACACTGTCCGAGCAAAGGACCACGTCAAAGTATTGGGAGTGATGATGGACACGAAACTCCGGTTTCGAAAAGCACATCGCAGACGCGACGACAAAAGGGCTGGAGGCCGTGCTGGGGCTCAACGGCTCAAAGGCCTGTCTCCGGCGACGGCCAGACAGCTTTTCGTGGCGGCCGTAGCACCGACGATGGACTACGCGTCGAACGTCTGGAGGTACAGGTGTCGAGCAGCGCAGATGAGGGTGATCAACCGAGTGCAGAGGATTGGCGCCCAAGCGATCGTGGGAACCTTCAACACGGTGGCCACGGCGGTCGCTGAAGCGGAGGCAAGCATACAATCGGCGCAAGAGAGGTACGACAGAAAATCAACGACATTCTGGGTACGGCTGCGAAGCCTTCCCAAGACCCATCCGCTTCGACGTCTGCGGGCGGTGGCCTTTAGACGGTTTCCGTCACCCTTCCAGTTGATGGCGGAGGCCTATCGCGACCTACCCCTTGACAAGCTGGAGACTATCGAAGGGTATTCGATCGCTCCTTGGGAACGTCGTATTGATACAGTAGTCGACGACGACACGGTCAAGGCCTCTGAGGCAATCCGGTCTGGATGGGCAGTGAGGATAGCGACAGGGAGCTCAGCAAGGAACGAGGTTGTGGGCTTTGGAACGGCGACGACGCTGCCCGCATCTTTCAGAGGGGGCGGTGGCGTCGTGACGGCCTCGCGTACGTTCGGTCAGAGAACGGAGCAGAACCCGTATGTAGCAGAGCTAGCGGCACTGGCAGAAGCGGTCAAGTCTCTCCCAGAGAGACTCGAGTACCGGGCCATCCACGTCTTCACCCGCAACAAAGCGGCAGTGTTGGTGATGCACAACCCGCGGCAGCAGTCAGGCCAACAAGAGATCCGACAACTATATGCCAGCGTGCAAGCTCTGCAGAGACGAGGCAACAGAGTCACTCTCTTCTGGCTTCCATCATCGATAGAGTCAGACCTGGCGCAAGCGGCCAAAGCAGCAGCAAAGGAAAGTACCCAAGTAAACAAGACACCACAAAAACGGCCGGCCAGAGCCTACTCGACGGCACTTAGGATCGCTTTACAGAGCGTGCGACAGAAGCACGGAGCCTTGCCCGACAACGTAGGAGCATATTCGAAGAAGATCGACATAGCCCTGCCGGGAAACCACACACGCAAGCTGTATGACGGACTGGCCTGGAAAGAAGCCAGCATTCTAGCGCAACTACGCACCGGAATGGCAAGGCTGAACTGGTACCTCTACCAGATCGGCGCAACCGCCGCGGCGCTATGCGCTTGCGGGCAATCTGCAGAAACGGTAGAGCATTTTCTCTTTCGATGCACACAGTGGACGGCACAGCGGACTCGGATGCTCCAACAGACGGAAACGCGGAGAGGAAATCTGTCATACTTCCTGGGAGGAAAGCGCGCGTCCGACCCTAAGGATTGGTCGCCAAGCGTAGACGTTGTCAAAGAGACGATCAAGTTCGCCATGAGCACGGAGAGGCTAGATGCACAGATCAGCCAGCAGCGAAACCACACGCAACTAACATCATCAAATTAACCGGAGACACCCCCACGCATCCTCGTGCCATCGACAGCAGGACTAGCTTCGGCCGCCGACGATAGGACGTCGAACACTTTGAGAAACAACTCCGAGATGGCCTGCTACTAACCCCACGAGCAACCGCAGCATCGACATGCAAAACTAAAAAAGACACATACGGAGACGAACAAGACTTGTATGGGCTTCTGGGAGGCAAGGATATGAACGAATGTGGAGAATATGTAGATAATCATGCGAGCCCTAAACAGCTTAGCCGGGGCGTAATAAACTATGTATGTATGTAGTTGGTTCGCGATGATCAAAGCTGTCTATTCTTGGTTGCAGTTGGATACAGGCGCAACTGTCTGGTCCCAGTAGTGATTGCAACAATTGCGACCGTGGGTAGGCATATGTAGCCGTGGGCAATCACAACCGCAACTGCCGTGCGTAGCGCTGTTAAGTACGTGATCATCGTGGCGGGAGAGCTCATATGGGGAAGCGGCCCAGGCTCAAAACTCCCGTGTAGTGCGGTTGCTGACGATAGTTGAAGCGTTATCACAATAATCACACCCATGGCCGTCACTAGCACGCAACATAAGTAGCTAGGCAAGGTGGCAAGCAAGGCGGAGCTAAGCCCACTGGGGCCAGAATACCCGTAGCAGCTGGAAACACAGGCCTGAAAGGAGTCCGAGTTGACATGCCTTGGTGAGACTTGGGTGAGACCTAACTAGGCGGCTGGAGCGGAGGGCCAAACAAAGAAACATCAGCCCATTTGGCGGGGCAAGCCTTTAGGGAATTCAATTCGCAACTTGCACGTAGCTAGAAAGTACCAAATGTTTCTCCAACTTTCAACCCGATCAAGGCTAGAACGGTGTTGGGCGTGCGCGATATACGATGAAGTTTGTTGAATTGTTCTGTACAACTCTGCTAGCGAACCCTTGCAATCACCACCAACAACGGCTCAGCCATGGATTATAAATCTGCCACTTTTTGCGGTCTGCGTAGTCCTACATCTACAGTTCTCTAAGAGCCAAGCTAACTCGTTCTGTCTCCATGACCGATACCACGATCCTAGGGCTCGCCTACTTTGGTCTTTCAGAGCTCTGGGCATTGGGCGCTCCTTTAGACGCAGACGCGTCGGACAACTTTCCCGATTCATCGTATCCGCAGCTCCATCTGACTGAAGGCAAAGCAGCCCCCGCGACCATATCAGTCGAGGTTCGCTCCTGCCACGCTGCTGCAATGTTCCCCTGACTTACGCGGCCTTAATTCAGTCACAGGAATATGGTTTTGGCCACCCTTTGACCGACCTCCTTGCTCGTGTTCCTAGAAAAGGAGGCATGACATCTTGCCCCGTGTGCTCTGCCAGGCGAAAGCTCTCCACGTTCCTCCCGAATTCGATTGGCGGGTCGTCGATGGGGCAGCCGGAGCAATTCACTGTCACACGAAGAAATGGGAAAATCAATCATAGATGAAAGGCAGCGCGAGGCGACGCGGTTCGTCATCGTGATCAGGCCGTAGCGCATTCCGTTGAAGAGTGGTGAAGGGGCACATGTACCAAGACGGATGACTCTGCGGCGCCAGATGCGTTCGCCAGATACGATACCATGTGACGATAAAAAGATTTCTCATCTCGCTGGTCGACTATTTAGAGTAGACTGTGCCAGAATGTGCCTGCAACTTGCAACTTGTGGTATTCGTCATCGGCGGTGACCAGAGGGTAGCATTTTTGCCATTTCGGTGCTCTAATTGAGCGCGCTCCGCAAGAAAGAAGAGTGGCAGTCAGAATCAAGTGTTGTTCAGGTCAACGGAACTCGAAGAACAAAGCCTAACACCAAGCAAACCCATAGGCATCTTTGAACGACCTTATGTGAGTATTCCTCCTTTCGAAGAAGTCACTTACTGTAGCATGATCCCGGATTTTCGACTTACTGTCGCGAAGCCGAATCCTCGCGCGATTAGCTCAACGGACTACAAACCTCTAGTGATGATGTTGCTCTAGACAACCCCTGAGCTTTAACAATGCCATGCCGACATTGGTTGGTCAAATGTGAACAGCAGTCTTCCACTTAAGCAGGAAAACTAGAAGTGTTTGAATCTTGGGTGAAGTCTGTAATTATTTGAATAACGGGATGACGTGATCGAGTCTCACATCCTTCGATCATCTTCGAAATCCTAACCCCACAGTTTACGCCCGAACCCGGACCCCGCTCGCGACTCGCGATTATTGATGATGCGCGGATTTAACCTTCCAGTCCGCTTGCGCTATTACTCAGCTGGTTAAGTGCCTGCTGAGACTTTACAACTGCGTCCTACTCAATATCATACCAACCATAGCCGTCTTTACAGACAAATCATTTCATCTATCACCGACAAAATGGCTCGAATTCTCATCACAGGCTCTTCTGACGGCCTAGGCGCAGTGGCTGCCCGCACCCTCCTCAAGAACGGCCATCAAGTCGTCATTCACGCCCGCAACGCTCAGCGTGCCGAAGACGCGAAGACAGCCGTGCCAGGCGCCGAGACAGTTCTCATCGGCGACCTCTCCAAGATTGCAGAGGTCAAGAAACTCGCCGAAGACGCCAACAAACTGGGAATATTCGACGTCGTCATCCACAACGCCGGTCTCTACCGCGGGCCGTACCGCAAGACCGATCTCGGACTGCCAAGCTTGACTGCAGTCAACGTCTTTGCGCCCTACATCCTCACGTCCTTGATCAACAAGCCTAAGAGGATTGTGTACATCTCTTCCGGCCTGCATAAGAGCGGCGACACCAGCTTCTCTGATCCGACATGGCGCGAGCGCGGTGAGGGAGGATGGAATGAGAATCAGGCGTATTGCGACTCGAAGCTGCACGTCACCACGTTGGCCAATGCTGTCGCTCGTCTGTGGCCGGATGTGAAGAGCAACTCCGTTGATCCTGGCTGGGTTCCGACCAAGATGGGAGGTTCAAGCGCACCTGAAAAGGCAGAGGATGGAGTGGCAAGTTACGTTTTGCTGGCGGAGGGCATTGGTGCAGGAGATGTCACTGGAAAGTACTTCAAGCCTCCCGGACAGGAAGATACTCCCGTTCCTTTCACAAAGGAGGCGAAGAGACAAGATGAGCTGTTGAAATTGCTCGAGGAGGAGACTGGGGTTAAGATTCCCGTCGCCTAAGTAAATATGGTCAATAAACGTTGGCAGATTTGTCTTGGTCCATGGTAATGAATTCCATATGATTGAGAACGTCGTTGTTATCATAACGTGACTGATCAATCCTCTGGTTGGGGAGCTCAAGGATTTAAATAATGGCACCGTAGCAGTGCGGCATGTCTTTCTCTGATTTTGGCTAATCGGCCGGTGCCGTTCATCGGGATTTTCCCGACGACCGTTGACAATGGCTAGCAACTCCCCGGCCGCTCGTCCGAGCCGCAAACGCGGCTCCGCGGCTATTTGGCTCCAAAAGGAACATCAGCAGCTTAGCATACGGGTATTGATCTATGCAAAGAGCTTACCTTGCTCAGATTGCAATGAGCGTGGACAGGAAGGAAGACCGAAATCCCACAATGCGTCAGCCAGCCCCACTCAACCCCGGTTGTCTCTGCCGATCTCGGCGCCGATGGCGCGGGGCAGCTCCGAGTGCTTCCAGAACAATGAAAGAGAATAGCTTCTTGCCAGTATGAGGTTAGCCACGGAATCATGTCAATCTTCGTTTCATCACGTAAATACGATTGCAGAATCACCAATTATCGTGGTGCGTACGGGCCGGCGAACGCCAACTGACGCCCGCTGATGTGCGCATTATTAGCGACCATCCGATCCCTGAACGAGTGGAGCTTGGGGCCGTTGCTAAGAGCAGATAAGCTAATTCCAAGCCAATGGCGGCTGGGGTTCGCCCATGGAGGGGATCTAGTGCCTGTTAGTGCGTAGGATCTTTGGGGAGAATTATTTGTGTTCTGTGTGGCTAGCAGCGGCAGCCGGGCAGGGAAAATAAGGGGTGTGTGGACTTGTTGTCCCCCAAAGGGTGTGCTGCACGCTTGCCATTGCCGTCTTGGCCTTCTCGACGTGATGTCACGGTCACAACGAGACGCACAGTCTCTGATATCCCATCGTCTTGTCGCCCAGGGTTCGTCTCATTCGGGAGTGACGACGCTCGGTTGGGGAAGCTGTCACTCAGCAGGTGAATTATGCGGCGAGACTTCGGCGTATTCAGGAACTCAAGATAGGCTTTTGTCAGATATCTCTGATGGCTTTAGGGTAAAAAGAAACGTTGTTGGCCAGTGTCTTGCAGACGATTACCAATGAGCGAAGATACTTTCTCGCGACCTGATTAGCGGGCCTTTTCGGTTCTCAGTTGTGTGCCCGAATCTAGTGTAAACACCGTGCTATCCCCATGTGTTGGCCAAACCATACAGCCCTCCCCTGTGTCCCCCAACATGAAGGACGGCATCCACCCTCCCCGGACGGGTGTCGACCCTTGTTGGCCCTACATCATTCTAGGTGTATTTGACTCATGGATAACCCCGCTCCTGAATTAGTGCTCACGGGGTTATACCGTCGACAGGCCTCGTTGTTCGTATAAGACCGCTGCGGTGCCGTACGAACTACCGCTGGGTGCAGTGGTCTTGATCTTCAACTGTTCAGCCTGCTTTGCGACTGGATTAACAGCTCATCATGGACGATAAAACACACGTCGAACCTGAGAGCCCTCACGTCGAACATCTTGGGGACCAAGAGCCATGGCACGGCATGTCCGTCCGCCGCTATCTGGGTACACGCTTTACCACCCTCAAGCCGCCTATGCTGAGTGCGCCGAACCCGTTGAGGCTGATCAAGATGATCAATGGAAGGCAATGGGCATTCTTCGCTGTCGCCTTCGCTGCCTGGGTATGCCATTCTCGTCATTAGTGCCAGGTTTATCACCTCGAACATTTGCTTACGCTTCTCCATAGACCTGGGACGCCTTCGACTTCTTCACCGTCTCCCTCACCATCACCGAACTCTCCGAGACTTTCGATAAGTCCAAGACCGACATCACCTGGGGAATCACATTGGTGCTTATGTTCCGATCCGTCGGGTCTATCCTCTTCGGTATCGCAGCAGATCGCTACGGCAGAAAATGGCCCTTCGTCGTGAACAACCTCCTCTTCATCATCCTTGAGCTAGTAAGAAAAATTACTCGTCATCTCTTCCCTCCAGCTGCGCTACTTTGATTGGCTTCAACCGGCAATTATGTGCCGAGCCTGGCCGGCGCCAGACAAGCTTTCCCCTCTCCCCTCTCCCGTCTTGGCTGCGCCGTTGGGGAATCCCTGCTCCCCTCCACAAACCCGTTCTTCTCCGCCGGGCTCCTCTCTCTTAGTCCATCTTGCTCAGTCACCTGGATGCTAGTGCCATGTCGGGGAGTGGTGACATCAGCGTCCGTCCCTTTTTCTGCGCCATCTTTGTTATGTTGGTGTTGCAAGCTAACAAGCCGATTTCCGCAGGGCACTGGCTTCTGCCAAACCTACGAACAATTCCTGGCATGTCGCGCCCTCTTCGGAGTCGCCATGGGAGGTCTGTACGGCAATGCGGCAGCCACCGCTCTTGAAGACCTTCCAGCAGAGACACGTGGAATGATGTCCGGTGTTCTACAACAAGGTGTAAGTCTCAATCCTCGAAACCAAGCCACCAACGCTTGCCTGAATCCTTCAGTTGGTCGCATCACAAGACTAACCTTCTTACTGCCGATCAGTATGCTTTCGGGTACCTATTGGCTGCGGCCTTTGCCCGAGGGCTGGTCAACACGACCCCGCACGGCTGGCGCCCGCTCTTCTGGTTCGGAGCCGGTCCGCCAGTTCTCTTCATCGCGTTCCGTCTGATGCTGCCCGAGACCGACACGTTCATTGAGCACAAGCGCATCCGCGAGGCAGCTGGCCGACGCGCTGAGGAGGCGGGGCATACAAGCGTCACCTCGACCTTTTTGAAGGAGGGTAAAGTGGCTCTGCGCAGGCACTGGTTGCTCTTGACCTACCTGGTCCTCCTCATGGCCGGGTTCAACTTCATGTCGCACGGCAGCCAGGATCTGTATCCCACTATGCTGACGAACCAGTTCAACTTCAATGCCGACATGGTCACTGTCACGCAGGTCGTCGCGAATCTGGGAGCCATGCTGGGTGGCACAACTGTCGGCTACTGCAGTCAAATCTTTGGTCGACGCTTCAGTATCATGGTCTGCTGCATCGTGGGCGGTGCCTTACTGTACCCTTACACCTTCGTTACGACGGAGGCAGTCATGGCCGCCGCCTTCTTTGAGCAGTTCTGCGTGCAGGGTGCCTGGGGCGTCATCCCTATTCACCTCATGGAACTCAGCCCTGGCGCGTTCCGCACGTTTGTCGTCGGTACATCGTACCAGCTGGGTAACCTTGTCTCGTCGGCTAGTTCCACCATTGAGTCCCGGCTCGGCGAGAATTTCCCTCTCACACCAAAGGGCACGACGAAGCGTTACGACTATGGTAAGGTCATCTGCATCTTCATGGGCTGTGTATTTGCCTACGTGTTGTTGTTGACCTTTATCGGTCCCGAACACCTGCGACGCAGCTTTGACGTGGCTGATGATTCGGATATGAGAGAGGTTGCTGGAGATGAGATGATAGAGGATGAGCTTCACAATCGCGAGGGCCGAACCGGTCACCTTGCGCACAGTGACGAGGAATTGGGACACCAAGAGAAGTCGGCTACTCACCGGGAATAAGCTCAGACCACAGCATAAGGTCATGCCGTAGCTCACAAATTGTAGTTGAGATAATCCGATGGTTCAATCCCGCACTAAAATCAGAGTCCGTTGAAAGCATACCACGAAGCGAACCTTCATTAGAAGTCAATGGCCATGGTAAATTCCGTATCGTACCTCACAATAAGTAAGATTCCCGCGCCTGGAGTGGTGGCTGGGATCGTCAAGTGTCGACGAGAGACATTTGAGTTTGTCGCAATTGGACCGGCTCGTCCAGATTCACTCCAGCTGCGGGTGTAGCGCGAATCTCCCGCCCGGGGGCTTTCACGGCTTCAATCCCGGTAAAGTGGGTCCTGATCCGGCCATTTCGCCGAATTCACCTCGATGACACTTATGCTTATCCGCATTGAATCCTCTACATGTACTCGCCGTATTGGTGCTCATCTCACTGACCTACTCTGACGGCTCTCGGAAAAGGCCAAGCCCTCGTGAAGCCGTTCAGCCGACTTCAATACGATTGCTCTTTTTCCGGATGAGGGTTCGGCCGCTACATCCGATCCCGTTCCTTCGGCCAAGATGCCATTTAAAGGGCTGGGTCGCATGCGGACGTCGAACACGAGGTGATTGATAGAAAAATATGCAGGAACCTGCAGCCCGCAGGCGCCTGACGACGGATACTTATCAAGCCTGGGCTCACTTTCAGCCCTTCGCTCTGACATCTTGCACCCAAGGGTCTCTGCAGTTCATTGAAACCCCAGCTGCACTCCATGTCATGAGCCTAATCGCACTCTGAAGTAGGAATGGTGCCATCTCGCGCAATCAGCGACCGGACAGCGCATTTTCCGAGTCACGCAGTTGGTCGTTATCGAGGACGGCGCAACACGAGATTTGCGAGATTTCGACTCGCAATTTGCCATCAAATGCACCTTGTTCTTCCAGGGGTAGCGTCTTGGCAACGTCTCTTGGGTAACATCGAGCACTTCAGAACGAGGTTACCCCTCAATTCTCACAAAACAGCTCTCTTGTTTGCTGTTCAACGCGATGGAGGTTCATGATCGAGGTTCGTAAAATACACTTCGAATAGCATGCTCATAGTTGACTTTGGATACGAGATGCTACGCACTTTAGGCGATTAATTTGTTTCTTAGTGTCTATCGTGAGACGTTCCTACCACCGAAAGGTTATTTATGACTGCAAAGTTGAAAAAGACGGTATGATTGTCAATGTCAGCGCTGCACCATCGTCCGATACCGCGTGCAACCCCGGCATATTAACCATCCCAAGAAGGAAGCTCATTCCAGCAACAATGGCGATATCGCCAGGAATCTCTCCGCCCATGGCCGTATCGGCAATGTAACGCTGCAACAAAGAGTAGCAGCCGGATTTTGGTAGAGGTGAGATGAATGTCACCAGGGCCGTCAATAAGTCATGGCTATAAGAGCTTCATCCCACCGGTATGATTCTGTCTATTCTAGAGACAGAGCTTCAAGCGGCGCACTATCTTGAGTGAACCCTCATGATGCATCTGCTCAATATTGCCAGCCTCCTTGCGCTTCCCGTTCTGGGGAGCGCACAGTCTTTCGCTCCTCGTCAAGCTCCAGAGGCTGCAGATGAGACCAACAACGCAACTGTCCCTATTGCTAAGAGCTACATCATCGAGTATGCCTCGGTAAGTATGCCCAACTCCAAGTCGGCATTCCACACGTTTGATCTAATATTGATATCTAGGGTTCAGCTAAAGCTCGTCGTGACGTCGCCCTCGAGGCCGACATCAAGGTCGTCAAGAACTTTGAGAGCGACATCTTCTACGGCGCCAGCATTGAGACCGACACCCATAACATTGATAGCCTTCAGAACCTAGCTGGTGTTGCTCGCGTCTGGCAAAACACCCGTGTTAGCTTGTCCCCTGTTGAGGGACTCAAGTCAATTGAGGAAGCTGCCGCTGGTGACTACAGCCCGCACAACACCACCGGCGTGAGCAAGCTTCACGACAAGGGCATCTTCGGGCAGGGTGTCAAAGTCGGCGTTGTTGACTCTGGAACTTGGTATACGCACCCAGCCGTTGGTCGTTTTTATCATTCGCTGAGTTGCCTTTGAGTGCTAAACATCTTGCAGCTGGGAGGTGGCTTCGGCCCGGGTTTCAAGGTTGCTGGTGGTTACGATCTCGTCGGCAACGGCAGTAAGTGTCACAGTCAAGTACGAGACGCGGGCATTCTGACTAACATGCATAGTCTGGCCTTATGAAGATAAGACCCCTGATGATGATCCGTTGGACCAGCTTGGACATGGTATGAAGATGCCTGGTGACCCTTGTTAGGAGAGCAGAATCTGACCACCGCGCAGGAACCCATGTTGCAGGAATCATTGCTGGAAAAAATGACTTGTAAGCCGTCAAGTAATTCGTTGACGCTGCCTAAGACACTGACAATTTCTCTCACAGCTGGAGCGGGGTTGCCCCTGAGGCTACGCTTTACTCATACAAGGTCTTCGCTCAACTGGTGAGCTTGACATCCGGACCCTCGCAAACGTTCTGACTTCTGACTCGCGGCAGGATGCTACGGACGATGCTACTCTCATCGAGGCTTTCCTCCGAGCTTATTCTGACGGCGTAAGCATCCTTGAGACCTTGAGAAATCCCAAGTAGCGCTGACACAAAAGCAGGTTGACATCATCACTGCTAGTATCGGCGGTCCAGGCGGTTGGTCTACGAACGCGTGGGCTGAGATCGCTTCTCGCTTGGTCGACGAGGGAGTCGTAGTCACCATCGCCAATGGCAACTCGGGTGCTGCCGGTGCCTTCTTCGGAAGCAGTGGTTCTTCTGGCAAGAATGTTCTCGCCGTTGCCTCTGTGGAGACCGAGAAGTATCCTGCATCGCCATTTGAGTTGACATCAGTTCTCGATGGCAACACCGAGACTGTTAAGGTACGACCTTCAGTCATGGATCACATGCCATGGTCTCTAACATTAGACAGGCTGGATACTTGCCTTCGACTTACTACTTCTCATCCGATATAGTTGACTGGCCAGTTGTTCCTCTCAACTTTGATATCACCGATCCTGCGGATGGCTGCGAACCCTACCCAAACAGCACGCGCAGCCTCAAGGGCGTCATTCCCTTGGTGAGAAGAGGCACTTGCACTTTCGCAACTAAGCAAGCCAACTTGGTTGCCCTTGGTGCCGAGTACATCTTGTTTTACAACAACGAAAACCCCATCATCACTCCTGGAACTGATGATGATGTTGGCCTGATTGCCCTCATCACCGCCGCCGCTGGCAAGGCCATCATTGAGACGGTTCAGGCCGGCGGCAATGTCACCGCGGACTTTTCTCTCAATCCCGAGCAGGTTGTTGGTTTGGAATACCCCGCCGGTGGTCGACCAAACACTTTCACTTCCTGGGGTGCTTCAAACGACCTCGACATCAAGCCCGACATTGCTGCTCCTGGTGGTCAAGTCAGTCTTACTAGTCCCAACATCTCCTTCCTAGACATTCTAACATTGTCCTAGATCTTCAGTACCTATCTGGATGACACATACGCATTGCTCTCCGGTACTTCGATGGCTACACCTTACGTAGCCGGTGTAGCTGCCCTCTTCATCAGTGCCCACGGCGGCCGATCTGTACATGGTAAGTCCACCCAACTAGCCAGAATCTCTGGATTGTGGCTGATCATTGCATCTTCCAGGCAAGGGCTTCGCCAAGACACTGCACCAAAGAATCATCGCCAGCGGAACCTCTCTTCCCTGGTCCGACGGAACCGCTACCGACTACGGCTTCTCTGCATCGGTGGCTCAAGTTGGCAACGGACTCATCAACGCCTTCAAAATCGTCAACTACACTACCGACATTGCCTTTGAGAAGATCGCTCTCAATGACACCCACTACTTCAGCCGTTACCACGACGTGACTGTTACTAATAATGGTGCCAAGGACGTGAGCTACAAGCTCTCGTATGAAGCAGCTGCTGGGGTGGAAATCCTCGGCTGGTACCCATTCGTCGCGCCCTGGGGTGGCGAGAAGAGACTCAAGAGCTTCACGGAGCTGACGCCCAAGAGCCTCCCTGTTGAGGTCTCTTTGCCGCGGGACTTCACTTTAAAGCCCGGTGAAAGCAAGACCCTCAGGTAAGAAGCATATTGTAAGCACACTCCATTTGGCAGTGAGTTAACACAGTGATTCTAGTGTCAACTTCCCCAACCCTGACAGCCTTGGCTGGAACTCTTCTGCTCTGCCCATCTACAGCGGAAAGGTCATAGTCGCTGGTAACAACGGAGAACAACTTTCAGTGCCCTACCTAGGTGAGATCCCGCGATGATGCAGCGCTCTGGTGAATAGGCTAACTCCGTTCCAGGCCTCGGTGCGAACCTAAAGACCGAAATCAGCCCGATATACCGTCCCTCGTACCCCTTCACCACACAGAGAGACTAGTAAGTTTATAAATCCATACCGTGGGGCAAGTACCAGCTAACCTTGGCCAGTGTCTACTCTTTCAATCTCGACCCATCCGTCGCCGATTTCCCCATCATCTACTCAAAGCTCATTTGGGGCAGCAAGGAAGTCCGATGGGATGTAAGTCTTGCTGTAAAATCCGGTTGAACATGAGAATGGCAGCTAACCCGTGTCAAGATTTACGAAGCTGGTTGGACTGATAGACAATGGGAATATCCTCCCGTCCCCGGTCAGAACGGCTATATTGGCCCAGCCACCAGCCACGTCGTAGCCGGCAGCGTGTCGTACTTTGACCCTACGCGATATGACCCTGATGACACCTGGACATACCCTCAGGTCGACTTGTACCGCAATGCTCAGACACAGGCGTCGTATCACGAGTTCTGGTGGTTCGGGAAACTTGGCAACGGAAGCCAGATTGAACTCGGAAACTACACGTAAGTCATGATGAACCCTTGCGCCTTTGACTAGGGCTGGCTGACAATAGCTCTGGATAGCATGCGATTTGCCACGTTGAAGCCTTTCGGAAACCCTGCGGCTGCTGATAACTGGGATGTTTTCCAAACACCGCAGATCCAAGTCACTGGCAAATACGAGAGACGAGGATAGGCGAAGCATAGTAGATAAGTTTTGAGAAGCTACAAGCATCATGCTGGTGGGAATCGGTCCTATCTGTGTACTTAGTTTAGATACAAGCATTGCTCTGGATATTCGGGTGTCAGAAACTCTCCAGACAGCTCTCAAGATGACGCCTTTCAAAACTCACATTTGCTGAACTCATTCCGACCGCTTCTTGTAATCCTCATCCGTCACAGCTTCATGCCACTTCGTTTCTCCAATACCAACGACAAAGTGCGTCATAATGCTTCCATCGTCGGCGCCGTGCCAGTGAGTCGTTCCCGGAGGAGCCCAAACAGTATCTCCAGCCTTGATTCGCTTAGCCTCACCGCCCTTGTCGCAAACCCATCCGCTGCCGGCCAGCACTCTAATCATCTGTCCTCCGACGTGGGTGTGCCAATGCGTCCGAGCGCATGGGGTAAAGGTGACGTTGGCAATCGCGGCGTTCTCGTCGCGGTTGATGAGTTCCATGTAGACGTCACCGGTAAAAGTAGCCGTTGGCTTTGCTACTGGCGTAGACGAGGCCGGAATGACTTTGGACTCTGGCATGTTGGTGATTGTTTGGTGGGATCTGCCTGAGTTGAGCTTGGTGTTGGAAGGATGAAGACGAGGAGGTTTGTGCTTCAAGCTGGCGGTGGGTGCGGTAGTTATAATCACGCCATCAAGTCTCCGCTATGTTGGCATTCCATGGCAAGTGGAACCGAGAGGGCATCATGCGAGGTCTTTGATCTCTGGAGTAGAACTCAATCTGAGCTGCACCGAGCACAAAATGAATCGAATGGACTTATCTGCTTCTAGACGCAAGCAAATACCTCTATCAAGATAACTCGGCATCAAAGGCAACCGGCATAGACACAGGCGCTTTTAGATGCGGCGGAGATCGGCCGAAGTGGGGTTGGCTGACAGCTCCCCGCATCTTCAGTGGTAACTCCGTGTGGTTATAACTAACTCCGTCTCGAGTTGCTGCTCCCTGATTCAAGTCATGCCTAAGCCAGGAGCCGAACATCCGGAAGTCGACCTCAATCACGACGATGTTCGAGGTGCCGAGTTGCGTCGATGGCTGGTGGTGGTCTTGAACACCTCTACCATATAAGTATGTGCACATTATGATTGGCGATATGCTCAAAACCTTTCGGATTACTTAGCGCGCCCAGCCATATTATCGGCTCCTCTGAGACATAATAGACATTCCGAGTTTTACTTTAGGTGAATGACGATATGTGAGTCAAAGTTGACAAGATAATGAACCCTCAATTGTAGGACATCCGAGTGCTCGCACATCATCAACTCCATAGACTCATGACTGCTCGAGCATATCCTTCCGATTTACGTAGAAATTGTCCATGATCGTCTCTTCCACCGCCATCATGTCGATGCTTTCTGCCGTCTTGTTCAATCTCTTCCGGCTCTGAATCAAATTCTTCGCAACATCCTTCCATGTAATGCTTTTCCCGTGGAGACCGAGGTCACTCGCCCCTTCCACTTGATCGGTAACTGACACAGGTAGCAACTTGCCGTTCTCCTTCCGAATGACGCCTCCAACAATGACAGTTTCCACATCTCTCTCACTCGAATGCAAAACCACCGCTGCAATGGGGTCCTCTTCAGCAGCAGGAAGCATGGAGGGGCTGTCAGTGCTGAAGACTACCAGGTCTGCCTTTGCACCAATGCGGATTTGGCCAACCTCGCCTGCCATGCCAATCGCCTTTGCACCACCTATTGTAGCAAGATTGAAGACTTGCTTAGCCGACGGTCCGACATGTCGGCTCCACTTGCCTTGTCTGCGAAGATTCTCTTGCCGTTCGGTTCGGGCATACTGTAGGCCGAGCCGCATCTGGCTGGGCATGAAGCTGCTGCCACAGCTGTGGCAGTCAACCCCGAGGCTGCAGTTTGCTTCAAACTCAGGCTGAAGGGCGACTGGCGGCCAACCCATCTGAAGCTCTGTGTTGGGGGTAGCAGAGATGTAGACATTGTGCTTCTTGACAAGCTCTGCGTCGCCATCCTTTGGGAAGTTGGCGTGAGAGATGAGTATATCTGAGCCTAGCAGGTTGTGGTTGTTCAGGATCTGGACGACAGAAGGACCATCGCCGAAGGCTAGGCCGCCGGCACCGTGCGATGTTATGACCTTAGCCCTTGCAGCGCGAAGCTCCGAGTAGAGAAACTTCAATTGGTCAGGCGACTGATACAAGTTATCTACCGTGAAACCAATCTGTACTCGCCCGTCTCCGTATGGGCCCTTTGTCGCTAGCGATTTCCATTCTTCGAGAACATGTGAAGATGTATAGTCATCTGCTGTAGAAAACGGGCTCCAGCTGGTCGCTCTGGGAACGCAGTAGCAGTAGACAGAACGAAGCCCGGAGGCTATCAGCGCCTGAACCAACGTAGGGGCTGGTTTCCAATGTCAACTACTGGCTATAATTATATCGAGCAAGGGTCTTACGGAATTCTGGGCCAACATTCAGGCTGGAGTGGTCCACAATGGTCGTGGTCCCGCCATCAATAGCTTCAAGTGCGCCACCAAGTTCACCCCAAAATGCGTCTTCGGTAGAGAACAATGACCCAATTAAATTTCCTCGCGGCAAGTACTCAAGTAGAGTGTGGTCGACATGGCGACCCTTGAGCGCGGTTTGCCAGACGTGATGATGTGTGCTTATAAAGCCTGGAGATACGATCTTGCCCTCGCAGTCAAACACTTTGACATCCTCGCCGGTTATCCTGACGTTTGGGCCGATTTCCGAAATCGTGTCTCCCTCGATGAGAATATTCGACCGTTCAGGGTTCACTCTGCCATCCTCTCCATGGATAAGAAGCACGCCATTCTTCAACAAAATCTTGGTTGGCGAGACAGTCATGCTTTTGTTTCTAGATAAGAAGATGTGTAGAAAGCAAATGTAGCTGCCGCATCATGATGTCTGAGGAATCCTATGGTTATTTATGGCCTTTCCCACCAGCCGTATCTGGGAGGTAATTAGCGGCACAACGGTGGGCTTCTTGAGTCCAATGTTCTTGCGCTAAGACGAGAAACCCAACCAAATAGGAAGACGCGCTCATTTCTAGGCCTCGCGCTCTTTATCTAGAACCATAAACGCGAAGAGCGACGAGATTTTGGGCCTGTGAAGGAAGACCTACAACTCGGTCCCGGACATTTCGGAGGCCGGATGTAGATGTGGAGATACGCCTAATGTCCGAACGGTATGAAAGCTAGACGCCACCCAATGATAGGGTAACGTACCTTATATAACTTCTCATCGCTTCCTAAATATTGCCTTGTATTATGCCGGATGACTTCATTCATTTACAGGTTGTGAATATGTGAGCATTTCACAGACAGCCGCCGTGGGGTGTTGTATCTAGCAGTGCACGGGTCAAGTTCTCAATTTTTACTGTTGATAAGTGGACAGCAAGCATCAATGAGGTTTGGTATTGGATGAGTATCAAGGACACAACAAGGGAAAGATAATAAAGGACTGGTCTCCACGTTCTAAACTGAGAAAATGAAGATTTCAATCCTGGAAACTAGCTTCAGATACAACAGCTGTGTCTTTGATTTTGCCACGCCAAAGATGTCGCCTGGCCCCTCGCACTTGCTTCTTTTCATTCTGCCAATATTGTAGGTATAAAGATCTCAGTACTTCTGTTAAAGGGTAGCAACTTCACACAACACTAGAGAAATCTCACAATTCGAACCAATTCTAGTGAGTTTCAAGGAACTTGGATGTCAATGCGTCAAATGGCCGCCATTCTCAACACGCATGCTATGTTAACGGCAAGTTGGGCGGCTCATGAATGAGGACTCCTTTTCAAGTTTAGACCGACGGCATTAGCTTTTACGAGCTGAGTTTTTAAGCAATGTCTCCATCTACTGCGTAGCCCAGAAAGCACTAACAGCTTCATCCAAGTCTATCAAGATGCTTTGGGTTCCCGCCCCAGAATGGGGTTCTCTATTGGAATCGTAAAATGTGTTCACCTGGTAAGACGGTGATTTTGGCAGAGGTATCAAAAAGCACTCCAGCCGTACATCAATCAAGTGAGCTGTTTTAAGCACTTAAATCACATTCCATGACAACACAGCAGGATGCATCGCCGAATGTTAATCAAGGACAACCCCGCATGCAACTTGAAGTCTTTGTAAATATCTGCCTAAACATTTTCCGGTGGATTGTCCTCTGACTTTAGTTGACGTATAGAAATTTTCTTGTGCGCCACTGCCCAAGGACCCATAAGTCCCCAGTAAGTCAAGTTAATAATGTGCGATTTCCAACAACATAAGACCATGAGCGCGCAGAAATATCTCGAGATAAGCTCCTAGCGTCATGTTGAAATATTCGCAGGATGTTTGGGGGTGGGAGTATGGGAAGAGGGGCTCACCATTCATGCATTGACGGAACTTTTGTTGGGGCTAGGCGTCAGCTTGATAGTAAGCTTAGTAGCGCGCGATAGGACGACTCGGACTCTTTAAACGCAAAGGGGACCCCTTTCCAGCTATGGACCGTGTAGAGATAAGGGCAATGGGTCGGCTCAGTCATTGCACAAACAATCGATATTTCAGACTTGACGCAGTACTCAGAGTAGTTCCCTTCATTCCCAACTGTTTCGAACAGTCATATTTGTTGCGACACCACGAGCACACTTTTGCAACCACCATGCTCACTGACGACCTGAGAGGCGCCTATCGCTCCGAACGGCTTACTTTCCGAGCCGTGGAAAACAACGACGATGACAAGAAGTTCCTACATACTCAAATCGAGAATGACCCAGTTACTGTCGCACTATCAAACCCGATGGCGCTGATGCCGAGGACTAGCAAGCATAGCGAGTGGATGGTTGAGCAAATGGCCAAATCCGTTCTCGCTGTCATAGTTTGCCTTCCAGCCAATACTCCAGGCGACGGCGACGAGGAAGCTGGCGAAGCGAAGACGACTGCGCCAAAGCCTATAGGATACCTAGCGATCGGCTGGGGTGGGATCCCTCCGGCAATGGCCCATCACCGCTCAGTCGGCCTCGGGATCGCGATAGCCCCACAGTATCAAGGAAAGGGCTACGGGGCCGAGGTCATCAATTGGGCTCTCGACTGGGCTTTCCGGTATGGGAACTACCATAGGGTTCACCTTGGCACTGTGTCTTACAATGAGCGAGCTCAGCACCTGTACAAGAAGCTTGGTTTCGTGGAAGAGGGCCGCAGCCGTGAGTCTTATTGGTTTAATCGACAATGGCATGACATGATCAGCTATGGAATCCTGGAGAGTGAATGGGAGGCTATGAGGGGCATCAAGTCTGGGTAGGCAATTTGCATTTGGACCTAGGGACAAAAGCTCTTTTATCGAAATATATAGTAGCTCACTTAGCACAACCAACGGGATGGTCCTGGTACCAGTGAGCCTCTGCGTTCTCATAAGCCGTGTATCTAGGGTAACTTGATTGAAGAAATGTACTGGAACCGGTACACCTGAGCTCACCTTCCTGATGAGGTATCCTCTGTAGCGAGTAGTCTGAATGTGGCTGTGATGTTCAAGGATCCTGATAACCACTTTTGAGAAGCTCAAGATTTCAACTAAAAACAGTGTCTTACAGCTACGAATGACTAAACAAATAATGAAACGATAGAAGATAATAAAAGCTAAAAGCAAATGGGTATAAATCCTTCAACCCTTGGTCTTAGTCATGTCAATTTGTTGTGGGAGGTCCAGTTTCTAGGGCTCAATAACACTCGCTTCGAATTTGTTTACCGTTCCTACTCCCAGGCGTCGTCATGGTATGGTTGCCTCCGTCTCTCAACCCATAGGGCAGCCTTCTTTTTCTCTTGGTCATCGGGGGAAAACTGGAACAACACATGTCCAAGTGCAGTTTCAAATAATTGTCGGTGTTAAGAGTCCAGCCCACGTGAGTCTACGTTAAGGGGATTTCAGTATATAGAATCTAAGCTAAGGAGTAGAGGTTTTTAGAGCAGAGGTTCTACAAAGGTTCTATAAAAAAAAAGCATTTAAATAGGACCTTTATAGAAGCAGTATAATAAACTATAATAATATCTAGGCTAAGGCTTAGATCTATTAATCGGGTTTAGTTTATAATACGTACTCCTTTACCTCGTTTTTAAAATAAATCCGCTATTAGTTCGTTTTTTAATTATAAGTACCCTAGGTAGTTAATTACTCTATTTTAATTTACTAGCTAACTACCCGCGGTCCCTTTTATTAATTTTTATTAGGCCCCCCCCCCTTTATAAAAAGCTTTTTTTTTTTAACCCTTATATAACGATTTATAAATACTTTAATTTATTTATTTCTACGTTTTTACTATTTAAATTTTATTAATTTATTATAGAAATTTAATTTTTAATAAACCTACTATCCCCGCCGTCGTTTTTTATATATATAATCTTTTTTTTATATTCGCGCGCCTATACGTATTTAAAAACCCTTTTTTAATCTAAAAAATAATTAAATAAATATTTTATACGTTACTATTACTATGTTTTTTATATACTACTATTTTATAGCTTTCTAGTTTTTTATTCGTTATTAATACTTTAATAATTCGTCCCCGTTAATTAGCCCGCTACTACTACCGCGCTTATTAAGCCTATTGCCCCGTTTAATAATAAAAGTAATATAAATAATAAAGAATTAAAGTTTAGCTCTAACTCCGAGCTATTATCTATTTACCTCTTTAAAAACGAATTAAATATCTAAATAATATATTAAACCTACGTAGCGTATCTATTCTCTATTTATAAAGTCCGCTAATTTTATATTTAGCTAATATTTAATAAAAAAAATAAAAGAAAAAAGGAGGAAAAGGAAAAGAAGAAGGAGCGTAAGCTTAAAAAGGCTCTTATACTAGGCGCCCTATATAAGGTCCCCTATTTCTTTTATATATAGGCGCTAACTAAGGGTAGCGATGCCCTAGCTAGTATTAGCTACTACGACTATCTTTATATACTAAGCTATTATTATTTACTTATTTATAGGTCGCTAATTTATTATAAAGCTAGAGGTATTACTTACTACGCTACTTATATTAATAGCAAAGTTAACTACTATTATAACCTTATATATTTACCGCTATTATTCTTTATTTATTCTACGATTATTAATTTATTATTTTTAGTTTAACGACGTTATTAAGGCTATTTAAATAGAGTTTTCTTAAGTAGTTAAGGAGTATTACTAGTTATTAACCCCTATTATAAGCGACCCCGCTTTTAAGGCCGTTATATATCCGCTTAATATCCGTTATTTATATATTATTAACCGTTCTTTTTTTATTATTAATATAAAGACTTTATAGGTACCTTTAGCTATTTATATATTATTACTACTACTTAAATTAAGGCTAAGAATAAAGAGGCCCGTACCCGCTATAATACCTACGCTATAACCACCTCCTTTACTATTAAAACGCCTACCCCCTACACAACTCCCGCTACTACCCTTACCACTACTCCTATTATTAAGGGCGTAGCCTTTTTTATTATAAAAAAGGCCCGCGCTATTAATAAGCACTACTAGGCCTTTACCTCTCTCTATACTACTATAAATATTTCTTTTATATTCTCCTTCTCTATAACTAATCTATTTCTAGGCTATAGCTCGTTATTAACTTCTCCCTATTTAGGCTAAAAAGGGTAATTAACCCTCGGTTTTTAAACTTTAAATAGCCCCTTTTCGTACTTATAGTATTACTATTAGCTTTATATTATACCCTATAAGGCTAAATAGTTTTTTAGTTTATAGATTTTAATTTAATTATTTTTTTACTTTTTATTTAATACCCGTTTTCTTTTTATTATTATAATTTATATAATTATTATAGGCTTTTAGTACTTTTTAATTCTATCTCGGTAGTTCGGGTCGCTATTAAACTTTTTAGCGGGCCTATAATATAATTTAAACTCTTTTAGAATATCCGTTAAATAAAATAAAAATAGGGGTTCTTATATTAGCTTTTAATAGCCCTCTTATTTAACGAGGACTTTTTTTTATTATCCGCGGCCTATATATTTCTATTATATTATAAATATTTTTTTAATTAATTAATAATCCCTATCGTTTTTTTTAATTAGAGGGGGCTTTTTATCCGTTCGTTATTAGTTTAGTAAAGGGTCGTTCGCTATATACCGTAATATATTAATATAAAAATAGGGGTAAATATTACTAAGTACGTTAAGTTATATAACGGTAGGTTTTATAACTTTAATTATTTTATATTTATAGTATAGCTAGTTTAATTTTTTATTAAGTTTAGAGGACTTATAATTACTTATATATAGTTATATTTTATTATTAACTTCGAAGCGCTCTATTAGCGCTCTTTATCTATTAGCTAAGCGCTTTATCTATTCTTATAAAGTAGCTATAATAGCCTAAGTAAACTTTATTATTTTTATAAATTTTTATACTATAAAATCGGCTTTTATTTTTTATTTATTTACCGTTTTTAATATATTTTTTTAAATTTTTAAGGGCTCGACGTTATACTCGTATTTTATAAAAAAAGGTAAGAGCTTTATTATTAAAGCTATTTAGTTATTAAAGCTTAATTAGGTAGCTAATAGCTAGTCCTTTTAGTTATTTTAAATATATACGATTATATATTATAAAATTGCTTTAATTTTTTAGTTAAATTATTTAGTTAACCCGTTAATCTATAAATAAAAAGCGGTGTTTAGGTACTACTCTATCCTTATTTTTATATAGAATTAGTATTAAAATTTATTAATTTAATTACTATTACGATTATTTATAATAGACCGAGGTATTTTATAGAATTAAAAGTAGTAGTTAATAAAGCGGTTTACGTAGGCCTTTATTTTTATAAATACTATCGGTTTAAAAATAACGGACTTTATAAAGCGGTTAACTATTACTTATAGGAACTGGGCACCGCTCTTTAATAATAAGGGGAGGTTAGTAATAAAGTTTATTACTAAGTCGCTTTTTATTTATTTTAGTATTATAAAAGTTACTCTATTTAATAGCTTTAGCGCTTAATTAGCTTTTACTTTTATATAAAATATTTTAACCTTTTATAGTCCGTAATAACTTTAAATTTATAGGAGCTCTATAGTTTTATGTTTTATATATTTAAGTAGGATATTATAATAAAGAGCTTTTTATTATAAATTAGGTAGTTATATTAAGTAAGTATAAGCTTTTATAAATAAAAAGCGATTAGTTAGCGTATATTTAACGGATCTTTTTATACGAGGGAGCTTCTAAATATAAATTTAGAGTAATCGGTCTTAACGACTATTATTAAGTTAGGGTTAAAGCTTTAAAATAAGGGTGCGGATATAAAACGCTTTTTAAGTATTTTAAAGGCAGTATTTTGCTTAGCTATTTATTTAAACGGCGCCCTTTTTTTAGTTAGGGCGTTAAAGGGTTTAATAATAGTAGAGTAATTATATATAAATACGTAGTAGTAGTTAGTAAAGCTAAAGAAGTTTTTAACCTTTTTTATTATTTTAAGTGCGAGCTATTTACGAATAGTATATACTTTTTTTAAGTTATATACAATCCTTTATCTTATTTTAAGGATGAATTTAATATATTTTATAGTTTAAATAGAGAACTCGCTTTTAGCTAGGTTAAGATTAAGGCCCGCTATTACGAGGGCGTATAATATTTACTATACTTTTTTTTTATAATCCGTTTTCGATCTATTTAAATATATTAATATATTATCTATATATATAAAGGCGAAGTCGTTAAGGAATTCCTTTAAGGTTTAGTTTATATACTTTTAAAATATAGTAGGCGCCCTAGTTAAGCTAAATAGATAAACTATTTATTTAAAAAGGCCGTACTACGTCTAAAAAGCGGTCTTTTTTTAATACCCTTTAACTACTTTAATTTTATAAAAGGCTATTATAACGTTTAGCTTTATAAATTATTTTATTAAACTAATTCTTTAAAGGGTTTTATTAATTAATAGTAAGGGGTAACGGTCCTTTTATATAATTACGTTTAACGCTCTATAGTTATAATAAAAGCGTAGGCCGCCCCCTAGTTTTTTAATAAAGAGAACGGGGGCTCTAATAGAGGAGCTATTAATTTAAATAAAGCCCTTATTAAATAGGTCTTTAAAAGTATTACGTAGTATTAATAGCTCTTCGCGGGATATAAAATAAAGGGGGCTTTAAAAGAGGGGCGCTTTTTATTTATTAAACTATTATTCGAGGTTAATTATAAAGTTAATTCCTAGCCGAGCTAATAAAAGGGGGTATGCTTTAAATAGTTTAAAAAGGTTACCGTATTCCTTTTTTATTTATTATAATAACTAAGAGAAGTAGTCGGTTTCGTTTTTTAGTTTTAAGGCCTTATTAATATTAATAAAGCTAATTACTTAAATCCCCGCGGCGTACTCGCTCAGTTAGTACTTTTTTTTTATAGTAACTTTATAATATAAAGTAATAAAAGAGGGGGCTTTTAGGCTTCGTGCTTTGTAAATCTTTTATATTATAGCGCCTTTTTTTTATTTATTAAAGTATATTTTTATTTTACCCTTTTGATATTAAATCCGCTATTTAGCTATATTATATATAACGCAGTTCTATTTTATTTAGGGTTTTTTAAAGAATATATTTACGTCTAGGCCTTTAATAATATATATATATACTTTTTCTATATAGTTATTAATTTTAAAGTTAAAAGCGACGACCCCTTTAGTTATAATTTAGGCGGACTTATTTATAAATCCGCAAAGTTTACGTTTTATTTTATTTATATATAGGAGGTAAAGATAGTAAGCTAGTTAGGAGTTTATTATAAAATATATATTATATCTATAGTTTATTAGCGTTAAAGTTTTATATATTTTATTAATCCTCGCAATAAATAGTGCTAAAGGCCCGTTTATAGTTCGTTATTAATTAAATAATTCCTATCTTATCCGTTTTTTATTTATAAGTTTTAGTACCCGATTTTGTACTAGAGCTATTTTTTTCTTAAATAATATTCGTTATTATTTAAGTTTACTTTTTTTACGCGGTGCTCTATAGGCGCTACCTAAGCTATATAGGCTTCTTATTTTTATTTATAGTTCTTTATAATATATCTAACTTTATTATAATTAAAGTAGTACTAAGTTTTTAGTTTTATTAATAGCTTTATTTTTTACTCGGGCTTCGTAGCCCTTATAGCTTTAGTTATAGTTATATTTTTATTACTATTAATATATTTTTTTATTATACAATATCTTTTTTATATTAGAATTTAGGGGTTATGTTAATTAAAGTTATAGCCCTTTATATTACTAGCTATTACCTAGACGTTATAGAGGAAGCTAGTATATAATAACTTATTTTAAAGTATAGCGATTATATATTCTTTTAATTATAAAGTTAAAGTGCGGGTAAAGTATTAGATTATAATATCTACGGGCTACTTTTAGCCTCTAGCGTTAACTAGGGTTTTTTTAAATTAAAGTAAAAATGCTATAAATTTCTTACCCTTTTTTATAATTATTATTAATAGTTCGTTAAGGGCGTTCTTAGCTTAATAAAGGTTACTATATATTTATAAAAAGTATACGAGGAGTTTGTTAGACCTTTATTTTTTATCTTTCCTTCCTTTATAATAAAACTAGTTTATTACTTTCTAAATTTAAAGGGCGAGGTATAAGAAAATAAAGTATTTTTATTTTTTATTAATATAGTAAAATAGTATATTAATAACGAGCTTATTACGTATCTAGGCTTCTTAGATATTATATTTATTTTTATTATTTAAGAACTTTACTAAGTTTAATAAGGGCTTTTTATAGGGGGCTTTATTATTAAAAAGTGCTTTTAAGCTAGCGGGGGTTCTATAAAAGTTAGGTTCTTTAATAAAAAGCGCAGGGGGTTTATTTATTTATTAAAGCTATTTTTATAATAACTATAGGATCTCGTTAGACTTTTTATATTTATACTTCTATTTTATTATATTCGCTACTTTTTTTATTTTACCCTGCTTCTAGGCTTTTATTAGTTTTTATAGGCCCTAAATAATTTATTCTTAAATCTATATTATAGTTCTCGCTAGCTAGGCGCTTAATAATATATTAATAATCGTATTCGCTTTTATTATATAATATAATTAGTAATAAAGCGGGTAAAAAGAGGAGCTTAGATATATTAAAAGTCTAGCCTATATAAGTCTACGTTAAAGGGATTTTAATATATAAAATCTAAGCTAAAGAATAGAGGTTTTTAGAGCGGAGGTTTTATAAAGGTTCTATAGAAAAAAAGCGCTTAAATAGGACCTCTATAAAAGCGGCGCAGTGAGCCGTAGTAGTATCCAGGCTAAGGCTCGGATCCACTAATCGGGTCTAGCCCGTAACAGTCGGTCGTTCCTACGTAACCGGTTGTAGATGACTTCTTCCTATTTGTCATCTGACGCCAGCTCCGGTATGATGGCTTTCACGGTGTCTTTGATTCTATTCCATTGAAGTCGATAACCATCAACTGCGGCGGGCGTGGTTTTCCATGTTCGTTGAGGATGAACAAGGTAAGCCTTGATATGATCGTCCGCAATCTCGTCTCTGTCGAGCCTAGTCTGCATTGGTTTGCCTTTGACAGCGGTTCAGCTTTTGAGGCCGCTAATGACAGTACGTTCGAAAACCTCAGCATTGGTTTCGCCTGGGTTTCTCCATTCTTTCTCAGGCGCAAATGAGATACTCTCCCAATAGTGAGTGGCATACACCCCTTTTCTGCTGATGATCCACAGAGAACTGCACCCACAAAGACCGTTCGTTCCGAGGCTAAAAGAATTCCTAACAAATTTTCGGAAAATTGGTGTGTTGGCGTCGGTTCCTGGGCTGACTTCCCAAACAATTGGTTTCGTAGTTTCAGCGCGTTCTCTCATCCACACATCCATGTCTGTGTCATCACCAGGGACTTCCAAGTTGACCCTTTTAGCCAAGGAGACATTGTATCCTTGAACATCAAGTCTATTAATCGGCTCATGGAGGTCTTGAATCATGGAGAATGGATTGCAGGTATCTTGGGTATCCTGATCATCATCGCGCTTTTGCTATTGGGTGAAAGGGTCGACATCTCGCCGGAGAGAAGTAGACCGTGGCCAATCTAAGGACGACGGTCCCATGACATGAGAATCTAGAAATCCAGGTTAGTCTCAATTGCAAAGCATCCAGCATTATGAGAGCCGTGCTTTGCAGATCACGTACCAAGTGACCACGCCGATGGGAAAGCGCTTACCGCTACTAAGAGCAGCAGCAGGCCGAAAAGCGGGACAGAGACATTCGGAGACATTTGAAAGTGAGCAATTCTCCTCGGAACAATCATAATTTAGTAATTGTGTTCGTTTGGGTGGAATTACGGATGCTTATGAAAATCGTGACATGCAAAGAATTCAAATGAATATGAGTTGCACGCAAATTGCCGCCACTGATAACTTGATGTTGATATGTTGAAAGACAGCTTCTTGTCATAGAAATCCAGACTTCACAAACAGATGTTGCATTGCACTTTATATCTCCAACAAGATCTTAGGTCGCATCCATCTGGTACGGCGACTGAGTATTGGCTTGGTGTAGTATGTATCTAGAAAAGCCTTCTGTGGCCATCCTCACGACCGATACTATCATTGTGCGTGGGGGCTTGTTGGACAGACATTCTACCTCGTTCTTTCCGGTCCATTAAGGGGCAGATACTTCGGGGGCTGAATCTGTACTAAGCAGATTATACATTTCCATGTATTCAAACTCTTTGGCTGTGTCGGCCGGCGTATCGTCCCAGTACTTGACGCCGGGATCTGCCCCTGCACTCAGCAAAAGCTGAGCAATGTCAAGTCGATTGGTACCAGCGGCAACATGTAGAGGGGACCCTTGCCAGATCTTGTAGCCTATTTTGATGTCGCGGACATAGTTGAGTTGAGCCCCTTTGTCAATGAGATATTGGACCATATCCATTCTGGTATCTGTGTGATCAGAATCTATGGCAGACTGGAGTATGTCTGCTGGTAATATAGCACCATGGTCAAGGAGGAGTTGACAGGATTTCAGCGATGGCTCGATCACAGCCGAGTGAAGCGCTGTCCATCCCTTCGAATCTTTGACATTGGGGTCTGCTCCGTGTTGTAACAGCACCTCCATCCACTCAATGTGTCCAGTGGATAGCCTGTTGAAGAATATCAGTGTCATGTTTCTCAAAACCTGGTTCGAAGGGAGGTACAAACGTCAGCAAGGTCACGCCCGGCTCCACTGTGTTGATGTCATACCCCCTCTTGAGGATTTCCTCCAACATCGTTTCGTTGTGGCGTTTAGATACAGCAAGGACAACTGAATCGGGTATACTAGCTCCGTTGTTGAATAAGAAGGCGACAACATGTGCGTGATTCTTCCAGGCTGCCTCATTAACGGCGTGCCTCATCAAAGTGTCAGGATACACATAACGTTTCTGCTGTGCCTTGAAGTCGCTGTGATCCTGCATAATGCTTTGAGCCAGTGGTAAGTCGCCGTTCCCGCATGCTTCAATGAAGCTCTGTTTCGGGGTGCCGGTCATCTCCGTCCCTGGGCGGCGAACTGCGTTTGGGTCGTGTCGGGGGGAAATGAAAAGTTGGGATGTGGTCTGTTGTTTGGGCACAAAGCTGGTGTTGGAACATGAAGTGAGGGCACCAACCACGTATTTATACCCCAAACAAGCCGCCCGCACGTTGGCTTCTCCGTTCGAATTGTCTATTTGTAGAGACACATACTCAAGGTTGGCAGATAGGTCTAGCCCATGAGCTACTGTTGGCAAACAGTCAAATGAAACCAACTGACATGAGCACATACCAAGCAATGCAGCAGAAATAGGTTCCAACCATTCGCCCCCAACAGGCAGTGATATGCACAGGCACCATTTTCGTACCAACCATCGACTGACCATTGTTCAAACTCGGTAGGTAGGGTCAGCTGAAATAGCACAATGTGAAGTTGAGGGTTTGGCCCTTGCTTCGCCAGCCAGCAACCCCAACAAAAGCGTCAGAATGACAGTCCTGGATCGTGATTATTGAGCTTCATCCTAAAAGCCATCATGTGGGGGTTTTGGGGCAGCCCCAAAGCCCCCGACATGGCGATGCCCTTCGCAGTCCCTCATGGTCGACTCTCATCGACATGCAGATTGGCCTGGAAGTTTCAGCCCGAAGCCAACAGCTCACCACCGGCTCGAAGCTGTGAATGTATGGAAGAAGTCCTCCGGAGATTAAAGACGATTTTCTTCAATTCAAAGACAGGGGGAGATTGGGAAGGCATGAATACTCGCATTTCCATCTCCTCTAAAGTCAGGAATCCAAGGCAGCAAAGTTCTGCCAGGAAGTCGACACCCTGGCTTCACAAGCACTTTGGTGGGTTGTCGACATAATTGGCAATAATCAGGAAGCCAAGCTGCAGGTCCGAGCTCCGCCAGTCACACTCGACCCGTACAAGGGCTACATCGTGAATCTCGGTTGGAAACCAAACATGGTATTTGACGCAGGCTCTTGCCAGAAAAGCTGCCTAGACGCATACAAAACAATTGCGAACACATGTGAGTTCATGCCATCTTCCAATCTTCATTGGATGACATTGACTAAAACCTAGAACACTTCAGGCGGGCACACGGGAGGCGAAGGCAATGTCATAGCCGAAGAGGGCCAATACGATGCTGGGTGCGGGACGTACTCATACATAATCACCAACACGGCCCCTCGCAAAGGCGAACTACGTTGCAACAGCGAGGGCGACTTTCCGAAGCACAAAGATGTCCACGAAGTGACAGTCAAGCAGGGACTTAAGGCTATGTGCAATGAGGTCTTACCTGATGTTGTGACACCCGGACATGAGGCAATAACCCGGATCTACTACTCGAAGTAGTTCAATGCCGCGAAGTTGAAGTACACCGTGGCTTGGAGAAAGCAGTGCTCGCCTGCCGTAACGGAGCAGAATCCCAAGGAACCTTGGGGTGGGGGTACAATTGGATGTCGCCAATTATTCTACCAACTTTGGGCCGATTGTAAGTTCGCAATTGCCACGAGATCCTATCATATACAAAACGGGTGGCCTTTATGTCATTTCTAACTCGGGCCGACAGGTATCAATGGAGGTGTTGCTGGAACGCGGGATATTGAGTGTTTGACATATTCCTTGAGTCCTACAGAGGAGTGAAGAGACTTAGGTACTTTACTAGACACATTTTCTTTTCGCAAAACATCGCTCAAGTGAAGTCTATGCAGAAAAGCTAGTCAATCATAATGGAATCCAATGTCTGCATATTAATTGGCGGGTATGCTATGCTTGTCGCCAATTTCGCGCCCTTGGCGGACGAGTTCTCCGCATCAACGCTATCGTGAAAACGAAGTACCGCAAAGCTATTTCTCTTACTTTGCTCGTGCAAAAGGACTTGCATACTTTGGAGGCCTGACGGCTAGCATTTTTCTCTCAGGTCGGCCCCACTAAAAGTCGGTCTATGGAGGCCTTTGGATGCTCCCCAAGCGCGATGCAGTTCGATGCTGGTTGATCAATACTTGTTCAAGGCATTGTCTATTACTGGGTGGACCACTTCTGACTCGTGATTACTAAGTCACAACCTCTTTTAGATGACATGCTCCTCCTTTCCGAGGGTGGCAATACTAGATATATGAATTAGAAGACGATCATGTCCTCCTTAGAACCATGCGACAACGGGTATCTTGAGTCAGTGCACGACGGCTGCGAGATCTTGCCACGAAGAGGTATTGATGACCAGGTATTAAAGTATTGTATGGCCCACCATACAGTCTTTGAATCCTGAGTGAACCGGTCCGTTCCCTTCTAACCTATTCCCTCGCCACCTAGCTCATAATCACCACGTGAATCTATCACTGTCATCCCAATCATGTAGAACTGGGTTACTTTGATTCTGGCGGCTTTGGTTGCAGGCTCTGCGGCCAAGGACTGTGCTTTCTTCTACGACTCCACCGTCTCGAATCCCTTCATGGCTTCCATCCCTGCTTCCAACGCCCAGTGGTATTGCGAAAACGACATTGGCGGTACGATGGAGGACAAAGAGTCGAATATCTCCAACTCGGCAACCAATCCGAACTTCAGATGCGGTATTTGTCGGGGAGCTAGGAGCTCGACCAAAGACTACGACATCCCTGATAAAATTGGCAACTATGCGATTCGATGCGGGTACTATGCTCCCGGAAAATGCACGGCGAGCTGAAAAGAAAATGTTAGCCCAAAAGCTTTAGGTTCTTCTATGCACAATTTCGAGCTTTCTTTCTTTTTCAATTTTTCCTTCTTTTCTTCTTCCCTTATCTAACAGCTTCTAGGTTGCCGCTTCATTGGCGTGGAAGGCGAATGGAAAGTCAAGGATCGTATGCAGTACAGCCTCGATCCAAATATGAGCGGAACGCTTTGTGGAAGACCGCGCTTTTGAAACAAGCCCAGGCAATACAAACGTTGTGTTGATGTGAGGATGTACATGACTTCGGGATCGTCCGCGACATTCAGTCCAGCACCATTGAAACCAATCGCCAGCGCATATTTAGGAAAGAATCTTGAGTCTTCACTAATTATTAGAAGGTGCCTACTAGAGACTATAGCTTAAGTGACTGTCTATGTTGTCTTTCTTTTCAATGTATTCAGAATAGTTCTGTCGAATACAACGTGCTGAGTCCGATTTATTCTTTTACTACTCGTAGTATGAATCTTTCGCCAATAGAACTCGGTCTAGACTTCCTTCATTGACTCAAGAAAACTACACTCTAATTATGTGATGGGTTACTCTGCTAACTCTTTCGTGAATGCAAAATCTGCCTCCAATCATCAAGCAGTTTAAAATTCGTCTGCCTCTTACAAAAAGCTTTCGCATCTGGTTACCTTATGTCGCGACAAAACTCAGCAAATACTCGGGCGAGCATGCATCATATCCCGCAAAGTTGCCTTTGAGAATGGCCCACAATCAATCAAGTCAAATATATGTACTCAACGCCGGTTCCGTATCAACCACCCCATGAGATGTAGCTCCTGCAATTCTCATTATCTGTGATAAGAACCCTTGAATACCAATAATTCCTGGTGACCAAACTTTCAAGTCTTCATATTCCACATTACGCCGCAATGAAGCTCCTCAACTGCTCCACTCTTCGCATCGGGGAGATGTATCCGGCAAAAAAACAAGAGCTTGAAAGGGAGGGCATTTCAACAGCCTACGCTATTCTTTCTCATAGATGGGAAGGCGACGAGAATGAAGTTACCTTCAAAGCCATGAGCACTACTGACATAAAGTTCAAGAAGGTACTTGGATGGTCAAAAATTGAGGAAACTTGCGCCAAGGCACTCGAAATCGGGATCGGTTACGCCTGGATAGACACTTGCTGCATCGACAAGCGAAACCTCACCGAGCTTACCGAAGCAATCAACTCAATGTTCAAGTGGTATTCATAGGCAAAGATTTGCTTCGCATATCTCTCGGACATCGAGTCAGATGATGATATGACAAAGTCGGCGTGCTTCACCAGGGGCTGGACTTTCAAGAGCTCATCGCACCGCGGGAAATGAAGTTCTACGACAGGCAATGAAAGCTAATCGGGAGCTGTGTCGAGCTTTCGAGCGAGATCAATCTCCGAACAATGATCAACGAGGAAGTTTTGGCCTATACCTCATCGACGCAACAAAGCTTACAGAATCTGCTGGTCGAAATTCCTGTGGGTCGGCGCGTGTCATGGGCTGCTGGCCGTGAGGCGAATAAAGTCGAAGACCGAGCCTACTCACTATTGGGTTTATTTGGCGTCAGCATGCCTCTTCTCTATGGAGAAGGCGACCGAGCTTTCGTTCGATTACAGGAAGAAATCATCAAGGAAACCAACGACATGTCACTGTTTGCTTGGTGCGACTCCTCCGCTACTCCCACTGATGGCGCCGCAGAGTTTTGTGGGATCCTCGCTACTACGCCGGATCATTTCAGGAGTTGCTGCGATCTCAGATCGATCGGGCACCTAGATTAGGTCCAGATGTTTGTTTCCAACGGGCATAACAAACGCCTCAAGCCAAGAGTTGGATATAATGCTAGTGCGTCCATCTTGCTAGTTCTCCATGACAAACAAGGGTCTCCGACTTGAATCTAGAGTTTTCACACATGGTGAAGATGTACACTTTCTGAGTCTAGGATTACCAAAGGACGGGAAATCAAAATACGAGTTTCTAGGCATCTTGTTCCATGAACTCAATAGTGGAAGTTTTGTAAGAACGAGGCCGGACGAGCTGCGTGTCAGAGGTACTTCCTCCAACAACCGACGACTCGATAAGAGCGTCCTTTTTATCGCTAAGCAGTTCACTCCAGACTTCCTAAAAGAAGTTGTGCGGATCCCCGGCCGCGACTTCAAGATCTGCATCGACGATAAAAAACCAACTTTGATGGTGCGCAGTGCCTCTTCAGCCCATCACTGGGACAAGTACATGAACACATTTGTCAGTCGAGACTTTTGGGAATTTGAAGGTTGCCTGGAGGTCGGAACCGGGAGCGAAAGGAAGTTTGACGTAGTGTGCGGATTCGACACACAGTATGGCACTTGGGTCTATCCAAACCCAGCATCCAAGAATTGGAGACGTGGTGGCAACGATCTTCAAGCGGACATGCCCCCATTGCATGAAATCAAAGTGGTGGAAGGGACCCAGGATGGCATTCCTACTACTTTCGTTCATCTTAACCGCATCAAGCCCGTGGCACAAGCGCCTTCGAAGACAGACCCTAGTTTGCAACCGAAGAGTGTTAAACAGGCCGATGAGGAGGGGCCGGCCGATGGAAATGAGATTTCCAAAAAGCAGAAGTCGAACTGCAAGCAAATGTAGTATAAGCTCAAATTATTCAAAGCCCTGAATTGGGGACTATCATGGAAGACAAATGGGGGGGGGGGGCCCAAGGCTTTGAAGGAGCTGTTGAAAAACGTCGGACATATCAAATGGCAGCTGATCTTGACATGACCTAAAAAGGGACCAGGCACTGGGACATAACTCAGCGTCATTTATGGAATTCGTTGTTTAAATTCCAGGTCGTCGTAAGAGTGCAAGCATGCAGTAGGGTACTATGTATGTCGAAAAAGGGGGCGAACCACCCATTCCATTCAATGGAAAGAAGCTCCAGGCTTTGCAACCATCCAATCCAACTTTTCGTCTCTTTTTGGTTAACCCCAGCCTTTGATGCATAATTGGTATAAACGTGATCCCGCAATCCTTCCCAGTCTTTCTCCGCCTACTCAAAACCAAACCCCACCGCAGGACATTAAATGAGAAGTCCACCGACAACACCTGCGGCAGCCATACCCAAGCTGAGCAGACCCCAGCGGACGTCGCCGCGGGCCTCAATACCAGCGCTGGGCTGCGATGAGGATGAAGCAGAAGGAGAGCTCGAGGCAGAGCTGGGGCTGCCGGTGGCCGCGGAGCCGAGGGTACCACCACCAGTCGCGCTGGGAGCGACGTTGGACTGCGCGGCGGCGGCGGCCTGGGCGTATTGCTCAATGGTTCTCTGACCGCTGGCACTATTGATACAGTTAGCAAGTTTAACTTCATACCTCTGAATGGAAACATGAACTTACGGAGCGTTAATAACACCAACCATACCACCCTGGCAATGCTGCCCAGTAGCACAGTAAAACCACTTGGGATTCGTATCCTTGACCTCAACAGTAAATACCTCGGACCCAACACCAGACGCAACCTGAACCGGACCGCTGAAGAAGCCCGTCGTGGACCCATTAGTCAACGGCTGGCAGGGCGAGTCAAAGGCTGACTGGGCGACGGAGTGGGCGCGCGGGTAGAAGTGGAACTCGACGACGTCGCCGACGGCGGCGGTGACGCTGTTGGGCTCAAAGGTGAGGCCGCCGTCGCCGACCTTGACGACATGGACGCCGGCGATGCTGGAGGAGGAGGCGGCGGCGGCGGAGGCGGTGTTTGTGGAGGACTCTTGGGCGCCGTAGCCGTATTGGGCGAGGGCTCCTGCGGCGGGGAGGAGGGTTGCGAGGAGGGATGATGTATGCATTTTGGGGGATGTCTGTGAGGTTGTGAGGTGGATTCTAGGTGGTGTCGAGTATAGTAGCTGATGCGTGCTGATGTATTATGTGAAGACTTGTTTTGTTTGATGATGAACAAAACCCAAATATCATGGGAGGGAATGTGTCTTCTTATACACGTAGTTCTTCTTGCTGCCTTCACCTCGAGATCCCCAAGAAACAACACTAAACACGACCCTCAAACGATTTACACCCCTTGGAACATCCCAAGCCTCCATCCCCAAGCCTACACCCCTCTACCTCCCCCAGGCACCATCCACGTTTGATCCCATCACTCCCAAGCCTTGGTCCCCATACCATGTGGCGGCGGCCTCCTTCAGCAAGTCCGTCTCGGAAGCAGATTGACCCTTGGGAACCAGACCCCATCTAGACTTACCTACCAAGACCAGAAGAAACAAAATTCGGCTAGACGGTAGCTCTCCAAACAGCGTAAGGTAATCACAATTAAGCTCCGCCTCGCGGATAGGATAGTTTCCATGGTGGCATGGTCTCCATCCCAAAACCCGCGCCCCAGCCGACCGGGTGTATCTGACATCCGAGGTGGCAGCAGTCAGAGAGCCAGAGCCAAGGGCCAGGGATCAGGGGAATGAGGAATGTGAACAAACACGAACAAGCGTGCAGGCCAAGCATTGTCCTGACGCATGCTGATCCTGGGGGAGGTGGACATGGGAGGGAACATGAGAGAGGAGAGGTCCCTCGTCTGAAGGCAAATAAGTCTATTTCGAGTCCAAGCTTTTTTCTTGTCTCCTTCGGGCCTTACTTTGGGCTTGACAGTGGCAGTGGTACCAGTGACATTATACCCCCAAAGCACACCAACAATCTGGTCTACTAGAGTTGGCCCTAAGCCGAATTCAACCTAAATTAGCACAATAGCAAGGGGTCCTCACGGAGACGGACAATGACGCCTCCAAGTTTAGCATGACAAGCCAACGAGGCCTGCCACGGATTGGATGACAGCGAGTCTCAGTGCATGCTCTGCTGTGGCCATATGACTGTCTGCCGGGATTCAACACAGCCGCTGTGCATGTCCCGTCCTTCCCGCGCCAATGTTCGGATCATGTTTCGAATAGTCGTGGCCCCCAGGCCAGATGTAAGCGCCAGGGGAGAGCAGTCCAGTACCAGTAAGTATACCTCACTCAACGTGCGAAAGCGTCAACTAAACACACAACAAGACTGTATCATTCCCAGCCCCCATAACTAGCCGCTAGAGCCGTGTTCCGCCTGGGAAAGCTGGTCGCTGGTCAGCCAGTAAGCAGCCCCCTCGGCCGAACCAACCATTCAGGTCTACAATCAAGCCAGAACGGAAACAATGGCCAAACCTCGTTCATCCCAAACAGAAACAGGGGGATCTTGAATGAAGGAGGGGGAAGTTGGTTGTCCAAGGATTACTGGTAGGTACGGCAAGCTTAATCCCCTTTCACTTTTTCACCCTTCCATGTAGCTACCTCAAGTCTCCAGTATCCAATTCTAACACAGTACCCAATGTATACACACTAGCTCATTAGTGGCCTTCCCATAACAACGTTTGGCGTTTCTCGCTTCGAGTGCCGAGCGTTCCATTCCCAGAGTTGGGGTGGCAGCATAACCCTGTCGCGACCATCATCCGGGGTGATGATTGGACCGGGGGCCGTCTTACGCTCTGTTGGCGCCGCAGAAGTTTAAAACGTCTTGAGCTTGAAGATGCCGCTTGTTCCAGCCCTTCACTCTCCCCCTCCTTAATCCTCATCCAGGGGTTCATCGTCCAGAATGAAGTTCATCAAGACGACTTGACTGTTTTCACGTTGTGTGAGAGGGGATGAATCACGCATGAGAGAAAAGAGAATCGCACTCCCGATTATAGTTAATAGTCCAAATGCCTGTCGAGCTGCGCACCCGAAAACAACACAGGCCTCAGCCGCTGGCTATAGTCAACATCTAGTCAGCTTTGCCCACGCCGTTATTCCCAGCTGGGGAGGTCAAAAGAAGACTCATCCCATCCCAAGCACCCAAAAATAAGGTTCTCCTAGTGTTCCTCTGCAGGCGGGTCAACGAAAACTCGCATCTCCTCCGCACTTTTTCTGCACCACAGCCACCCTCGCCTAGCACCCGAGTCGGGAACCGGGACAACTCACTTCCCAAGCGCTTGCTCTGGTGCCTTGTACTCGTAGTAAGTGCAGTAAATGACCGCCAAGTGACGATAATGGGGCCCTCCTCCACGTTGAGCCACAAGTCACCGGCTGAATCATCGCACCGGAGCCGGTCACGGAGATTCAATCGCTTCTCAAGTATGGGCATTGCTCACACGATCTAACCCGTCCTGGTGCGCTTTTCCACTCATGTAGTCGAAATTGGTAATTGGATTTGCCTTATTCAACACCATGCCACGCCTTATTACAAACCATGACTGATGCCCGACGCCAATATTTCCCTGACTCGTATCCCAAGTTGCCAACGACCAGCGGCCAAGGTACCCGAAATCGAAACAAAATAAGTTCGTGACAGCGTGACGTGACGTGACAGCCATGACATGTACAAACTCAATTCAATAAAACACACAGCGCAGGGTCCCGACCACTGCCAGAATCTTCAGATGAAAGCTCTTCACTCTTCATCGCTCGAGCTAGAGGAGGCTGCTGCTGCTGCTTCTTTGGCGTCGTCTGCCTTCTTCTCCTTCTTGTTCTTCTTGCTCTTCTTCTTATTCTTCTTCTTGCTCGAGGAGCTCTCGGCAGGCTCACCAAGATCGATCAAATTGGTCGAAGCCTGGCCATTGCCGGCATTTCCAGCCGAGACAGCCTTGGAGATCTCAACTAACATCTTCTTGAGCTCTTCGACCTCGCTCCGCAACTGCTGCACCTCGTAGATCGTAGGATCGTGCTCCAAGTTGGTTTTTGCGCTTGCGCAGACCTTGTTCCATCCATCGGATTCGAAGTCGACCTGGTCCATCATTTGCTCCCACTCCTCAATTGTGTCGTCGTCTTCCTCGCCTCTCGCTCGGTTGCTCCTAATGTCGGCGGCTGAGCGAGTCTCGAAGATTGCGGCGACAATAAGGACAGGTGAGTAGAGGATTCCCATGATGACGTCGCTCATCTTCTCAAATTTGGACTTCTCCATCCACCAGAAGAGGCAAATGACAATCATCTCAATGAGGTTGAATGGTGGGATATAGACGTTTTCATCGGGGGCACGAACGAATTGCATCGTCTTCTGGGCAAACAGCGCAAGATACTCATCGTTGGCGTTGTCGTAAATGTCTTCGTACGCAGAGTTGTACAGCGCAATGAGGATGTTGAGCAAGACAACCTGGGACCTGAATTAGCAACTGACTCGGAGTCTTCCTAGGACCACCACTTACCATGACAATGAACGTGAAGCAATAGTACAGGATGATACCGAACGGCGGCGAAAACCTGTCGAACCCGTCAAAGTCGGGGCTCTGCATGATGGCATTGGCCATGGCTGACATGATGAATGTTATGTCATCAGCCACCAAGTCGTCTGCCAAGTCGAGACCAATAAAGGCCTGGAGGAATCCAATGATCAACACGGCAAGTAGGGCGAAGAAGATGATTGACTCTTTCATCATAACCTTTAGCACGACCAGCATGGCTCCAAAGAAGCGGAAGCTGTCGAGATAAAGCAAAAGGCGAGACCAAATCATGGGTGCGCTGAAAGCCAAGAAGTTGTAGCTCAATTCACTGTACATTTTACGCGCGGGTTCGCCTTCGTCGTGGGTAAGGCCGATGATGCGAAGAATCAGGGAAAGTGTGATGAAGGTGTAGAGAACGCCATTGAAGGCATTCCAGAAACCCAGAATGTGGTAGCCGGCCTTCCAGAACTTGGTAACCTCCTCGCAGATAAAGCCGAGGGTGAAGATGTACAACAACACCTCGGCCGCGTCCAAAACACCCTTGGCGTTAACCGAGTTGATGACGGCAGTGTAGAGACCAATGTAGATGAGGGAGATGAGCACTTGGGTGGCATTCTGGTACATGGGAGCGCGGATGCGGTCGGGGTCCATATGCACGAGGAAGGACGGGTTCGTCTTGTCCTTGTAGTCGACGAATACTGCGGGGTCGTTCTCGTCCTGAACCAGCCATCCCTTCCACAAGTAGGAAATGCATTTTTGGTATCCCGAGGAGCCGATGACTCTGACGGCGTGGAGATCGACGGCCTTTTCGATAGCGTTTGCGGGCGGTGTGGATTCGCCGTCGACAACCACAGAGTATCGGCGGAGGAGGACCGAGTGCATGAGGTATTGGAGATCGTCTTCGGTTTCGATGCTGTATCCAGGCATTAGTCTTCCTGGTGTCTCCTCTGGTAAAGGAGCGTTTTAGATACTTACATCTGCTTCGCAATAACCTCACAAGCGACAGCGCGCACTCTGTGCAGGTCGGCATCCCAGAGCTCAGCCAAGGCCTGGTGCTTGAACCATCTCTTGCAGACAATCAAGCAGAAGACAACACAGGATCCATAGTGCGAGCCGCCAGCCTCCTTGGCGGCCTTGATGACCTTGGTCGTGATGATCTTGCTATGCGCCTTTGTGATCTCGACTTCGTCCAATTCGCAGGGAACTGCCAGCTCGATCAGGTGTCGAAGCTTGAGGGCAATCTTTGTAACTTCGGGGGCAGGGATCGCGGACTCGAGGTGCTCGCTTCGGTATTGGGGAAGGACTAAATCGGGGCAGCAAGCCCAGGTGTAAGCTGTTGAAACTGATTGAGGGGGTTCCATAACGTGCTGGAGAATGAAGCGGCTGGAATTGGTACAGCCTGACGTTCCCAAAGAAGAGAGGGTCGATTAGGAGTAGTACGTACGGCGTCTTCGGTCATCGCGGATCCAGTCCGAGTGGAAGTCGTGGTGATGGCGAGGGTGCCTATCCCACCCCAGCATACGGGATACCCAGTTGAAGTTGGCCATGGCGACCGCGATTGCTTCGTTTTTCCAGGGACACTTTCGCGTGGCGCCCTGTCCTCTTTGAATAAACGGTCGATCGATTGAAGGAATCGGCGCGATCGGATCGTAGGAGCAGGAGTCGAGGAGCAAGAGCGAATTGACACAAGCTCACAGGAAGGTAACTTCCTGGATGGAAGCTGGCAATTGATCGATGAGCAAAAGGAATCAGGAAGCAGGAAAGAAATCCCAGATTCGGCTCCTGGCTCTGAGGAGGTGCAGCAGCGGCCGTCGCATTCTTGTCTCCTCTCCGCGCGGCCGGGTTCCCTGTTTTTGTTGTTGGCGCCAGAGAGAAGGTCCGACAGGAGCTTGTCCTCTTCCTGCCGCAGGTGACGTCGACCGACAGCGGGGCATTCCCTGTGCATTGCCGGGGTACTAAGTGGATCCTTAACAGCTTACCGTCTTTGTTATTGGTAAATGAGATAATCAGCGACATCGAAGCTCCAATCTACACTAGTCTCTCTTTAGCCGTCCCCACATCACTGGCGTGAGAAAGTTGGCTGCGCTGCCACGCTTCACCAGCTGAATCCTGCCGCCGTCACTCACACACCACCAGTCTCAGTCTCAGTCTCAGTCCTTTTTTATTTTTTTCACTTGCTTTTGACTCGAGTCTCCAATTCCATGATGAATTGCTCTAGTTCAAAATAAGGCAGCCCATAGCTCAATCACTTAAATGTCCGACGACATGGCATATCATACCCGGTCTTCACACAAACCTCTCACGGTGCAATCAGCTGAGAATCTTCACCATCACCTCTTTGTGAGTGAACAGCCCAGCATAGCATGAGTGTATGAGTGACCAACCTCATCAACTTCATTCGTTTCCAGTCAAATTTATGTTTCACATACAGTCTCCAAACGAGACCATCCCGACGCTGATGATGTCTCACTCACACCCGTCATCGTCTTGACCCAAGATTCCCTGCCATTCACCAAGCCACTTGACTGACCACGAAGGGCCCCTTGTATCCCCATTGGCTTGCTCTCTGCCTTCTCCATCGTCACCTTCTTCATCTCTCTCATTCCCCCACAATCATAAATGGAAGAGATGGTGAAGAGACAGACGAAGTGAGCGATGCTTGTCATCCCCATCACCCGCAAGCCGGCCGTCTCCTCCCTCAGTCTCGGCCCCTCATGAAGGGTGAGGTATGCCCATCTCCCTTGTGTAGCAACACTAGGTCGTGAGTCCTGCCGATCTTCTCGCTACTGATGATACCCTCACATTGTCCATCACGCCGTCGCCCCTGTCGTCTCCTTCCACAAATCAATCACCATGTTCGCGATATTCTGAATAGCCTCCGGCGCATTCGGCAAATGATGCCCCCCCGGATACCTCACAACCTTGCGCGTACTCCGCTCAGAACACTGCTCAATCAACATCTCGCTCGCCGGCTTCCACGGATCAAACAAGCCCACCACATGAACAGTCGGCAACCGAATCAGCACGTCGTCGGGCACAAAAGGAGGATATGTCCCACACAGAAACACCCCAAAGAAGTTGTACGGCACAAACGGCTGCCGCTGCTGCTCAATCAACAGACTCGAGGCCGCCCGCGCACCCTGCGAAAACCCCAGCACGCCGACGTAGGGCCCCGTCTGCTGCACGTACACCTTGAGCATCTCCATCGCCGTGTCCTTTTGCTGCTGGAACTCCTCGGCGGGGATGGAGGGATCGTCGCTGACCCATCGTCGGTACGGCCCGCACCCTTCGAATACGGGGAGCACGCCCGGCCCGGCCTCCGTCTCGATCGGCCCGTCGAGGTAGACGAATTCGAAGCGCGGTTCGAGGACACGCGATAGCCTAATGAGTTGGATCTGGAAGATGCCTGCTGAGGAGCCGCCTCCGTGCAGACAGAGAATCTTTGGCCGTTCCCGCGGCGCCTCGTTGACTGCGTAGGGCTGGTACATGATCTGACTCTGCCCGTGTTGCCGGCGCGCTAAAGAAAGACCCGAGAAGCGAGGAAGACGAGTGGCGTGTGGCGAGCGAACTAGACTCTAGAGAACGGACGAGGTAGCGAGCGACAGATCCGGCCTTGCGTGAGGACTGTAGAGTGACGTGAAGGATGTTTCTTCCAGAGTCCTTCTCACACGGCGTGCGTGGTGCGACTGAAGTGACAGGGCATTAAATGTGACTGACGGGGATGCAGGTGAGATGAGAAAGAAAGTGGATCATATGCTCGCTCCAGCCTCCAGTTCCCTGGCCCCCCACGGCCCCCAAAGCTCTCGGCCGTTTCGGGCTTCTGCCATCTTGAACCTCCGACGCCCGGCCCCTGGTCTCATCTTTCCAGTTCGCCTTACATAAGCGTAAACCAAACTCACATCTACCATCTGGCCAACCAAGTTAACTCTGGGAACTCTATCAGGCAGCATCAAGATTACACAGAAACGTTCTAGTCTGATTCGGGTTGTTGGCGTTGAACTTTAAGACGTGCACTGCTGGAAGACAGTTCAACACTCGCCCGGTTCGGATCCGGCCTATCCGTTTATTCGACGCGTAACCATAGTGTTTTGGCGATTTGGTGATGTAAGTAAAGTATTCTTAGTCTTTTTAAACCGTACCTTTGCCAGCTTCAGAAGGCTAAAGAGGCGATATACTAATTAGTTCATGGTAGCCAATGGGTGGACATGAGGAATGGTCGATAAGTGGAACTGCCTTCACGTTCGCTCATTATAATATTGACTACCTAGATCTACCAAAGCTGAATCCTTCGCTTTCCACTGTCACGTCTTCCGAGATATCGATACCGGTATTGGCCTTTAAAATACTGCTTGGTTCTATGGAGCGTATGTAATAAGCATGCTAACGCGTAAGACTTTTGATTATTTGACTACCATTCTGCTATCTTTGCAAACAGCTGCCGCTTGGAGTGCAATTCCCCCGCCTTACTAGTTTCCACTTCGCAAATCAATCGTAGGGCACGGCGATCTGCAATCTGTTGCCACGACTTGAACCGCAAATCTCCAGTTGCCATGTCGCCGCAATTGTGATTATCGCTGTGTTATCTTTCCCAATGACAAATCGGAGAGAGAATGAAAATGGTTCCGTTGGACTGAAGTCTTCCATTATTTCGAGCTTGGGCATATGCGTTGCCGCCATTCCTGCTGCCGATATCAGGAAATTCGTCCCCGCGACGTCTTTAAGAAGTCGAAGAACATGATTCGTCAAGGACAAATGAGTAAGGCACGACCAACGACGCGGGTGTTCTGGATCATTTGCCGGAGCACCAGTAGATGTAGCTTTGATGTACTTTGCGAAAAAGTCGATAGCGTCGATGACGTTGGGTAACGCGACGCGTTCACGCCGGTAGCTCGCCTCCACAGCCGCGGAAATAAGACTGTAGCTGAACGGTCTGTATTGACTGAGGTTCCAGGGGAATATCTCCATTATTGCGTTCCAAACGGTCAACGTTTTCATGCTGGGGTTATTGATTACGGCTCGAAGGACTTTTTTGCTGGCCACATCTCGAGTCCCCCGATCGTTTCGACCAAATGCAGGCCAGTACATATATCCAAAATATTGGATACAAGGCAAGCTGGCGGCAATCTTTTCTCAAGACTCCTCCGAAAAGCTTCGGTAGTGTTGCCGATCCATGGAGAATCTCTCAATGATGGGAACTTGTGGTAATTCCTGAGCTTGGAAGTCGGGGTCTGAGAAAGTGCTGAGAAGACGCTTTTTGCCATCCAGAGTCCGGTTAGCCTGTGCTCGGCCACAAGAGTATCGATGAAAGGCGTTGCAATGGGGCGTTTTCTCGTTGTCAGCATTAGAGCCAGCACAAAGTTCAAGTGTGATATGATGTACAGGTATTGCTTTTCCCCATTGTGAAAGCACACGAAATAAGGCTGTCAACGCCTCCGTGACTACCACATTGATTGCCGCTACTGTGTCGAAAGCCTCTCGATGATCGTATTCTGCTCCGGTGAACTCCGCTGTTCCGATGAGGAGGGTGATATTCCTGACAAGCTGTATTCGGTAACCTCTCACAACCTGGTCCATGCGACCGATTTCTTTTCTGCAGGACCGAAAGCTCAGATTTCAAAGATCTCAGGCTCAAAGAAATTTTGCCATCCCTCGAGACGCTGGCCCAATGTGCCATTTCATGTCTTTCCTTAGCTAGCGGCGGGAGCTTCTCGAGTATCATAAGCCAGAGCTCTTGCGGCAAGGCCTTCCACAATGGATGGACAGAGATACCTGCGGTTCGAGGATTGGGTTCGGATTGCCCATTCGAGCCCATAATAACATCTGAACACAGCTCCATCGTTGCCTGGGGAGGTCGTTAAATTAACTCTCTGACGAACAATCAGTTTGAAGTCGGAAGCCGGGTTTGGCGCTTGGTATTCACGTTTCAGTGGTGCATTTTCTTTCGTATTTGCGTGCTATGTTAACTTTTCGTTCAGTTGTGCAATGAGAAATGACTTAAAGTCGGTACTAACTTATACTGCGCACGAAAAGCTGTCAGTCCGACACCCGGAAGGGCAGCACATTGATATACTTCGACACCTTGGTGGACTCCTGGGACCTTAATGGCCAACCCGATCTTGCCTTTAGCCAGGTTACGGTAATCAGCCGTGCCCTTCATATTTCACTCGCTTAAGGGTTCTCAGCAGATCTGATGCATCGGCCTTCTACATTAAAGCATACAGTTGAGCCATCGTAACATGAGCATGGAACCACTCGACATTTTAAACCATCTGATTTATTGGCTAGGTTGGTAGGTAGGATTACCGATTTCCGTATGTTCTCTCTGTAAAACAACTAAGTTGACTACTTGCCCTGCATAAAAGGCGCCTTCTCGAGAGCCTGTGCTTGAATATGCCAAACTCTCCGACCCTTTCGCAAAAGCTGATCACCAAACTTGTCAAGTACCTCCTCAACGTCAGGCAAGTTCTTGCGCCTAGACTCGTGGAATTCTTTCTCGGACCCGAATGTGGCAGCCTGCCAAATGTCTTTCCAGCGATGGACGGCCTGGATGGCCAGGTTGCTCTTGCTCTGCACTCTCGTAGCCACCATGTAGAACGAGGAGCGCTTGTTATGACCAGTCGTCGGCTTGAAGGTTTTGATCTCGGAAAACTGGGAAAAGCAGTAGAGCTCACAAATTGTGCCCCAAGCCTCCATCTTGTGGAAGAGTACAACCATCGTTCCTCCAGGTCTCAGCCGCTCGAGGCCGAGCGCAAGCTGGCTGGCAGTCAGTCGCTGAGACTCGCTCTCAAGTCGATATGAGGCACGCTCTTGCTTGTGCACCTTTGTTCCTCCACAAATGACGAGATCGAACTGTTGGCTAGGCGTGAATTGGCGAGGTAGGAACTTGGCAAAGTCTGGGTGGTCGGCAGGAACGTCATTGATGCCCATGTCCGCAGCGAGCATGGTCACGTCGACGTCTCTGCGGTCGATGTCAAGATTGTCCGGTATCATGGCTTTATGACCTCCGTCAGATTCGTGAAGACTGAAGCCCGTTGCTTGAGCGCCTGGGTTTAGATGCATCGCCGTTGCGAGGAAGCCGCCGGGCGCCATGCCCATGTCAAGGATCTGCGTCTTGCCCCAGCTAGGGGTTTTGACTTTGAGGGCGCCCGTGTTTTCTTTGCATCTCTTGGCCTATTCTCTTCATCATGTCGTAAAAAGCTATCGTAGCCCGCTCGCTGGGGTTCTCGGCGACGCGACGCTGGTTCTCGAAGAAAGTGTCACCTGCAGGGTTCTCCCATCCCTGTGGATTGCGACCGGTGTTAGCATTCTTCAGAGCGAACAAATAGAACTATTTACGAACTTTCTTGCGCAAGTTGCGGACTTTGACAAACTCTGGGGAGTTCTTTTCCAGGTAGTCATGGATGAGCCTGCCCCGACTTTCCCAGTCTTGGTCGGATTCACGACACTCCCGCCGCTCGGATGTGGAAGCTTCCATTACCACGGGCGAGGGAATTTCGTCATGACTGCCGATACCTTCGGTGACTACCGCCATTTGACGTGCCGTGTTAATATGTAATCTTGATGAATCGAGCAAGTAAGTTGGTGACAGCGGGGTGAAATACGCAAAAAGAAAATGCATTCAGAGGTTTGGATTTATTTCATGCAGCCGCGAGTGATGCCTGAGATGTGCCATCACGTGCCTTCCAGCGTATTCCAAACAAAGGTTTGGAATATACCGAAGCCTGAAGAGGGTGATCGCAGCCTGATAAGTTAGATGCCGACATTCACTGGCCCCATTGCTACCTTATTTCCAGTTGGGGTTGACGGCCTCCTGCATCTTGTTTGTCTTCAACCAATGAGGCCCGACTCATCTCCGAACCAAACGCACATCACATGCGAGACCTGTGCTAGTACATACTGGCCAAGAGCATTTATAGACGTCAAGAGCTGGTAAAATATTGTCATGTTCTTTGAATGTAGAACCATGAAGATCTGTTCTTGACAGAAGCCGAAATCAGTCTCTCTGATTGCCATCCCGCACTATCAGCGCACTGAGACTTCGAGAGACCATTCTAAGCTTCCATCTACTAGGAGGACACTCGAGTTTAATGCTCGTCGGGTGTCTCAGTTGGGAGCAGGCAAGATTGGTCCGCAGGCCTAAAATTACGGGGATTCTGCTAGCAGAAAAGATTTTTCAGTAGTCAACACTAATGGTGGCTCAGGCCGTATCTAGATATTGGAGCCCATACCGGACTCCCGGCTTCTCAAATCAATGTTTAGACTTAAAAAGGTCCCTACTCGAGTGCCAAACGCCCTTGGCGCCTCTTACAATCTCATAGCGTCCATCATACAGAGGGTATACAACAACAGCAAAAAAGGCAAAGAACTGCCAGATGATCGCCACCGTTGTCCAGCTCCTAAAGAAGGTCTTCTCAAAGATGTAGTCGCGATACAGCGGCATTGGCCAGACAATGAAGGTAATGAGTACGATGGCGACGAACATGTACCAGGCGATTCGGTACCAGCGGTATAGCAACTTGATGGTCTCGTCGTCGAACGGGTGGCGAACATCATCCAGGTTGACTTCACCTGCCACCGAGGTATCTTTGGAAGAAACCGCGGCAGAGACCTTGTCGCCTGCAGCAGTGGCGGCATTCTTCTCCGAATCATCTGATTTTCCAGGATTGAATAGAGAAGACGCGAGTGGTTCTCCTTCCGAAGTCGACGAAGTACTACCGTTGTTATTCGCCTCCTCTTTTTCGGTACTCTGCTTCAACTGATTCTCTTCGGCAATCTCGGCAACAAGAAAGCGTCTCCAATCGAACTTTTCGGGTTTATACAAAGACAGAAGCACCGAGTAGAGCGCAGGCGAGAAGAAAGATCCAATGGCCCCGTAAAGAGCTGGTAAGCTGCCTTCTGTGGTCTTCATGTTGATTTCACCGTAAATGACATGTGCTGTTCCGAGCCAGATGCCCAATCCTGTGAGGAAACCAAGGATCGGGGATGCAATCGAAGCTAGGTGTGTCTGGCCTGACCAGCATAGAGTCAAGCCAAGCGGAATGATACCCGGGCAAGAAAGGATAGGACGGAAGTAGCCGATCCAGGTCATATCAGCGCCTCCGTAGTTCAATGCGAGTGAGATTGCCGTGATGAACACCGCATGAAAAACCACTGTAAGATGGCTGACGTGGACCAATTTCTTATCGGATGCTTTGGGGTTGAGGTACGTTTTGTAGACGTCGAAAGATAAGATGCTGCTGACTGCGATCATCGACGAAGAGACGGTGCTCGTCAAGGCCATGAATACAAGAACGAGGAAAGCGTCGATGCCCTGATCGCCGATGAGAGCTTTGATGGTGTATGGCATGACAAGTCCAGCGTTGACCTGTGCCGACGTGAACTCATGCGGATAGCCCGGCCAAATTGGAGTGTTGTGCAATGCTCTTGCAGTGAGACCGATGACGGTACCGAGGCCCCATGGGATACCAAAGATTGCTACTGCAGCCAGATTGTATCCCGGAACAGTTGCGTTCACTTCCGTTGCGAATGACTTTTGCCAGAAAGCGGTGTCCTGCCAATTCGATTAGTATCAACCTCCATGAGCACGCAATCACTCACCATTACGACAAGAGCCAAGTTTCCAAACTTCAAGATTAGACCCCAAATGATCGCATCTCGAGACTTCATCGTGAGCAGAGAGCCCTTGTAGTTTCCGTCAATCAAGTTCTCTGAAGCCGTGGCCACCACCTTGTCGTATAGTCCACCAAGCCCACCGACGGCATCATGGGTGAGGACCTTGAGTGTAAAGTAGATGATGAGGATCAGCGCGATGAGGGTATGCAAATAGTCTGTGATGAAGGTTGCTTTCAGTCCGCCAACCGCGGTGTAAAGTACGACTGAGTTGGCCAATGTCAGCTCACGTTTGCATTTGGGTTAAAGGTATTGGCTCAACCAACCTCCAAGTGGAATGAGAATTGTGGCAGCGACAAAATGCATGCCCGAGATACCGTAGATGAGTTGTGACCCGGTGAGGATCATACCAGCACAGCCGAAAACGTTATTCGTAATGTTGAGGATAATGAAGACAATGTGACCGATCCATCCGTATCTTAATCGAATGATTTCAAGCGAGGTGTGCGCGTAAGGAACTCGAATCTTTGCCAACACGCCGAGTGCAGCCATCAAGGCAATTTGGAAGCAGAGACCTGTTGACCACCACTGCTCGGAGCATCAGTGACAACTTCGCCTATCGTAGTATTGGGGCAATTGCACTCACAAAAGGCACAGCAAGGCCAAATTTATAGCAAAATGCTGCTGAAAATACTGTCTCATTGATCCACATCCAAGAAGAGAAAACAGCTGATGCTGTCAAGCCTGTCCCAACCGACCGATTGGCCACCATGAACATTTCTGAGGTGCCAGAGTCCTCCGCCAAGTAGGCCTTTTGGATCTTGACTGCTGCTAGAATAACTCCACAAAAGCCGATACCAAGGCCAATGAGCATGCCATAGCTGGTCGACTGAGGAATCAGGGTCTCTCCTGATACATCTAGTTGAACCGACATTGCGACGAGACGTTTGTCTGCTAAACCTCTGTGTACGAGCAGGCCGATTTGCGAGTCGATGAGATGGAAAGCAGAGGCTCAGAACACCACAAAATTGAAATTCATCCGAAAGGCCAAGCAGCACTACTTTAACATAAGCCGCTTCCGCAAAGCTTGACTTCGAACCGAGATCGGTATCTTAGGGCCCCAGTTGTTGGTCACATCTTAGCTGCCCCGCATTGCGTTATGAACTCAACCCATGTCGGCAACTACGATTACTTACTTGCGGGCCGGGAATTGATAACAGACGCCTGTAAGGTGGTATCTGTAGTGTAGACATAATTTAGACTTTTGTTGGAATTTAAGCGATTCTGCCGGAGACATTGCTCGGAGGTTTGCTAGCTTGGCAGATCGCAATCGGTTGCGTGCGATGATGCAATCTGCAGATGAGCCACCCACAACTCATCGCGACAAGGCTATTGGATCAAAGCAGTAACAACAATGCGCGCTATCGGCATTCCTTCGACTTGACATAGTAGCATATAGTTACTCTGAGCCAGCAATGTTGAAGGAAACAAATGGCAAAACAACCGTTTTTTGGGGGCCGCCATCGCTAGAATCCAGAGATTGCAAGACACATAGCATCACAACCGAGACCTTGGAAAAGTCTCATCATGGCCGACAACTCAGATCCTACCACAGGCCGGAATGATCCCAGCGGCAAGAAACAACTTATTCTCAATGCCTTTGTCATGAACACGCCTGGCCACCTAGCTCCTGGCCTCTGGAAACACCCCCGCAACAAGACAGACCAATACAAGAAGCTCTCTTTCTGGACCGAGCTCGCCCAATTACTAGACAATGCCGGGTTCCACGCAATGTTCATCGCCGATACCCTGGGGCCGTATGATGTGTACAAGGGACCGGCCAACGTCGTCCCAGCCCTGGCCTCCGGCGCGCAATTCCCGGTCAACGATCCCTTGTACCTCGTCCCAGCCATGGCACAGGCCACGAAGAACCTCATTTTCGGAGTGACTGCGAGTTTGACCTACGAAAAGCCCTACTCGCTGGCAAGGCGGCTTTCAACTGTAGATCACCTGAGCGAAGGCCGACTAGCCTGGAACATTGTCACCTCATATCTGGACAGTGCAGCCCGGAACCACGGCTTAGAGGAACAGATTCCGCACGATGAGCGTTACGCGATTGCACACGAGTATCTCGAAGTTCTGTACAAGCTCTGGGAAGGCAGCTTTCGGGACGATGCGGTCTTGGCGGATCGCGAGGCTGGGACGTACATTGCCAGTGACGCGGTTAAGCAGATCCACCACAAGGGCAAGTACTTTGAGGTACCTGGACCGCACTTTGTTGAGCCTTCACCTCAGCGAACACCCTTCCTCTTTCAGGCAGGCGTGTCTGAAGCTGGGAACGGCTTTGGTGGTAAACATGGAGAAGCTATCTTCATCGGCGGCCAGACGGCGGAGGGCGTCCGAAAGACCGTCGATAATCTCCGCAAGATTGCGGCGGAGGAGGGAAGAGATCCTAATCACATTAAGATCATTCTCGGCATTAACGTCATTGTGGCAGCGACAGATGAGGCGGCCGAAGCACAGAAACAAGAGTACCTGAAGTACGCGGACACCGAGGGTGCCCTCGCTCTCTTCGGCGGGTGGACAGGTATTGACCTTTCTGGGTACCCAGATGATGAGGACTTCTCAGTGGCAGACTCTCCTCGGATTCAGTCCATCATCCGACGTTGGTCAGATACCGTCCCGGGTACAGATAATCTCCCTTGGACCAAGCGAAGAATTGTGGAATACCTCAGTATCGGCGGTCTAGGTGCCAAGATAGTGGGTAGCCCTACCACAGTCGCCGATGAGCTGGAGCGTTGGGTTGAAGTTTCTGACGTGGATGGGTTCAACCTGGCCCACGTTACCAACCCCGGTACGTTTGAGGATATCATCGAGTACCTGCTTCCTGAATTGCGCAGACGAGGAGTTTTCAGGTCCGCCGTTGAGAAGGAGGGAGTTACGGCGAGAGAAGTATTTATTGGCTCGAAGCGACTACCCGCGGATCATCCTGGAAGCAAGTACAAATGGCGCGCCGGGGAGCCAGAGCCACCATTTCTGAAGCAGAATATATAAGTGCCAAGGGCTTAGGAACAACAATAGGGACGAAACTTTCTACTAGAGTAGATTCCTCAGGAGGGCTTCTGTGCTTAGTGAATGTCGATAACTATTGCTAGCATCCATGGAGCATTCAGCAAGTCGTCTGGCTGTGGACAAACTCCATGGGAGAGAATGAAGGATACATGAACCCGGAAACGCTGATCAGATCTGTGATATTACCTGCAGGGCCATGCGAGGGAAAGAAGCTGCTATCTGGTCAATTTCTGATGATCCCGTTTGAGAAGATGCTGGGTCGAGTTGAACGTACTGCGCATGGCCTGGGACTTTGTCTCGAGTGAGAGAGTTGAGAAGCTCCTGCACGGCTGCGTGATCAAACGTTTCAATAAACGCCAAGTTTCCATGGTCCGCATCAAAAACTGCCGACGAGCTTGTCTCAACTGGGCAAGAAGGGATAATAAGGGCGTAGCCATGGTCCTCGGCGTGGATAGTGGCTTCCATGTCAACGAGAGCAAGCTGCAGCCTGCTGTCTTTGAGCACATAGGAACCGCCACGTCTTTGAAAACCCATAGTTTTAGTTGAGGTATTCTGCTAGGGGAGAATATTTGGAGACCTACGGATAAGAGACCACCTGCTCTCTAGGGACCGTAGTGTAGTATCCTGCGGCATGCTCAGGCACAATGAGCTTCGCCCCTTGCGCGACATAGTCTACTACACCGAAGGCATGATCGTGATGATGGTGAGTAGGCTGTTGGACTTGTGTCAGCGATCAAGAGGCAAAGGCTTCAAAGATAGATTATTACAAACCCAGACATGTGTTATGTTCTTTCCAAGATTTGCCTGAACCCACTCAATGACGAGCTTGCTCTGATGCGGCGGAGCATCCAATACAATGACAGAGCCATCTTCAAGCTCAACAAAACCTTGTCGCATTCCTAGATCACCGCCGGGGCTGATAGTCCAGAACCCAGGTAGGTCTTGGAGAGGCTGAGAAATCGAACCTGCTATGGACTCCTTTGTTCCGGTATAGGCACCCGGCCAGAGAAAGTTAGCAGACGTTTCTCCAATCTCTGAGAAGCTGTACTGGGCGTTACGAATTGGAACGCTAGAGTCTGGGACAGTCCCGTTGCCCGGCACTGCGAAGAAGTCGCTCGATAGACTACCGTTGATGATGGTCTGGTCAGCGCGATAGTCTCCAACGAGATGCTTTCCGTTGTAGATGGTTTTGAACCGTCGAGGTATTTGGACCCCGTTGACTTCAGCATAGTCATGAACGAGGAGGTCATGTGTGGATTCGCCAAAAAAGGGGTGATCTTCATAGGATCTAATGATGTAAGGGAGATTTGTGGCAGGATCGAACAGGACTGTCAGCTCGAGCGTATCGTCATGAACTGCGATGCAAGTTACAATCATGTTTGTCGCAAGTTTGTATAAGACCTCTCTTACCTCCTGCTAGCGTTATTCCTGCTCCTGTCTCTCCTTGCCGAGATGTAAAATTGTTGTTGGCAAGGATCTTCATGCGGCGATTAGGTGAGTGATCAAAGTAATCTCGACGAAGACATACCGTGGGAAGAAGTAGTGGATGCCATTTGTACGCTTCGCTAATCAGGTAGGACGCAAGTAGGCCTGTGAAAACGATCAACATTAGCCTTCGGCGAGAATCGTCATCAAAACAATGGATATACTGCTACTGACCGTCAAGGTAGCCCTCGGGTTCACCAGAGGGATTATACAAGTTGTAGCTGCCCCTGGTCACAGCCGCGTAGCCATTTTCACCACCCTCGGCAACGATGGAAAAGTCCATCGGCGCGAGGTTTGCCCTTCCGAAGGTCCATCCGGCTGGTAACGGTTAGGTTGAATACCATAAGCAGCCTTGTGAAGGGATGCTCACGCCCTAGTGACGCGACCTTGTCAATGCGCTGCTTGACGTGTTTTTCGTCAAAGGCAAAGGACATGTTTTGTCGGCCTGCTGTTACGGCCGCATTGTCCACACCAGCAACGGAGATTCCCATCATCAATGTTCTTCCCCTGAGAATGCTACAATCTGTTAGTGATGTGGCCGAAGGGAATTTCGGAAAGTAGACCATGACCCGACTCACGTTTCGCCGACGTATGTCAGGCTTTGGATGGAAGAAACAGCTTCACGCCCTCCAAGAGCTTCTATTCCCAAGGTCAGAAGTACTAAGGGATCTTGAGTCGTGCCATTTTGGCGAATATGTAAGTGGCCCAGGGTGAGCTGCGCAGCCGCCAGGAAAAACAAGCTTGCATGTCGAACAAACATCTTTGCGATAGGATGACGACCGGACGAACAGAAAGCTTGAACAACATGTCGAGCTTAGTTATAGGTCGCAACTCCGAATTGAGACCTATGTCGCAATCAGACTCTGTTGGCCTCCGTGAGGTTCATCCCAGTTGCTCTTCACCCCCTGAGATTTGGGTTTACTGAGATGTTAATTTCAAAGCATCGCCATTGTGATTAGCTGCGTATCATCTAAACAAGGTCAATGGAATGTCTTGGACGGAAATCTACCAAAAGAGTACATGTAGCTCCGACCTCATCACTTCCGATAGTGCGACGTTTGCTTCCGCTCAAAGCATACTTGAAGCCTATCACGTGCGATAGCTTGGCCAGAGACGGATTACTCCGGCCCATGTCTTAACCCCAGCACCAGCAGGGCGGATAACTCAGGTCGTCTGACTATCCAGCGACCCTGGTCAGTATTGAGGTTAGATGATAACTAGTGTTAAGATCACTTCCGAATCCTAGATCTTGGCAGTGTGGGGAATTAGACTTAAGCTCAGGGGATATCAAGATCGCGGCCTGTTCTCACCAGGAACTAAGTCCGAGGAGCTTAGGTCCGAAAGGTAACTCGGCCGGAGTCACCCGAATTGCAGTGCGCTACCAAGACGGAGATAAGCTTGCTTACTGACTTACCCGCGGCTAGCGGCCTGAACATATTTATTCATAATGCAACGCGAAGAAACCATCAGACACCCACTGGGCTTGCGCTCTAAAGGGGAAAGACGGTCATCATGATGATTGAGCGCTGATAACTTGAAAGAATCTAGCTGTTATCTTTCATGCGCTACGTACCTCTATGCATTTTTCATGCGTAACAAATAGTAATTTGCCTTGAAATTCTGTTCTACAGAGAGAAACCTCCATGATCTATGTTGAGCCTCTCCAAATTCATATCAAAGATACACTGTAGCCAAATCAAACGCCTCTACAGATCTATCTTTTAACACCGGTGCCGGCGGGGAGCGCCTTGCTGCAATCAGTCAAGTCGTTGATGTTAAAGACACCAAGGAGACTCAAACGGAGGTACTGCTTGGCATATGCCTGCAATTTGATTAGCTATACTTCTAGAGCAGATGGAATCGAGTGTAAACTTACTCCACCCCAAAGAGGTGCATTATTAGCGAAGGCCTGGAAGGCTGGGCCCGAACGGGGATCCTTGGACAGAACCGTGTCACTAGGGAAGGTCACAACCTCGGCAGGAGCTCCAGCCAAAGTTTGTCCGTAGAAGTCAACATCCCAGACATTGGGCGTGGTATCCTGCGGGGCGTTGACCTTGGATGTGTCGAAGAAGCGTTGACGACTGGCAGTGTGCGCACCGACGAGGGCAGCGAGACCAGGGGCGGTGATGGTCTTGTTGCCAAACAGCTCGATCAACTTGTCGGCAGGGTCCTTCGGGTCCGGAAGCAAACCATCGGGAGCAGCCACGGAAGAGTCCTTGCGGCCGACGAAAGTCTTGATTCTCGGTCCGCCAGGGCATGCCACCGTCGCAGCGTTGGCGGCGAACTGGATCAAGTCTGCCATACCGGCACCGTGGTCCTTGTACTTGTCGAACCACGTCTTCATCTGCGATACGATCTCCTCTAAGCCCTTGTTGAGAGGGCGCCCGATTTCCTCGGGAGCGAGGACGATGGAACCATCGGCACCGCCGAGGTCGCCGGTGTTCAAGCTCCACCCAGCAGCATCATGGAACCCGAGGCGGATGGCGGCGCGGGCAGGGTCAGTGCAGCCGTTATCGTCACGGAAGGTGGGCATCAGGTCGGCAGCGACATGTTGCCACACGCAGCACTTATCCGCGTTGCAGTCAGAGCTGCCGAGATCAGGGAGATTGCCGCTCGCGGCATCGGACGTGGTTGGCGATCCGGAGCCCGTGAGGATGCCCTTGACATCCTTGCCGACGTCGGACAAGGATCCGTCGGGAATCTTGAGGAGATCACCGAGATTTTGGTTGTCTGCGGCACCCTCTCGGCTAGCGAGATGCGCCATCATATCTCCGTGGCTCGTTCCGGCGCCGCCCCGTCCCATGCCGGGGTAGGCAGTAGCAACGGCTACGAGTGCCGTCAGAGCAATGAGTGCTTTCGGTCCGGCCATATTGCTGGAGAGGTATGATGACTGGAGGGAGAGAGAGCGAGAGTGTTGTGAACGAAAGAAATGCCTGTTTTAGAGCGAGTGACCTGAGTGCTGGAGCGATGATTGATAGTAATGATGGGATCACAAGTGTCTAATTATACCTGTCCTGACCGCAAAATACTCGGTGGCAAAGATGCACTCTCTTTGCAGAGAAGCAACTCATATTCTCTCATGGCCGTCAGCTCGGCCCCGATGCGGGAGGCAGGAGTCATTAGCCTGCTTCAGGCATCGAGAGCACGGTTGGGATGTTTCGGCCTGTACATGTAAGCACGTCAACCTGGAGGAGAGGGCACGATAAGCTGTGCATTGGTGCAGGAGAAGAGATCCAACATAGAATATTGACGGCTTGGCCCATGTGTCAGTTAGCTCTTTGGTGACTTTCTCTGGCTGCCCGTCCGAAATGTCATCTTGCGTGGCGTTGTAAGCGTCCCGTCCTCAAATGTTAGTCTGATGCCGACCTCCAAGTCAGGGCGCCTGAAGGCCCGAGAGCGTAAGCAAAAAACGCCTCAAACTTTCTCCCTCGTGGGATCATTGTCCAGCCGTTCTTTCCGACTTATCGGTTTTTGCATGAGCTGAAAATGCCGAGTTCCAGGCGCAAAGGCAATTCTGTAATGTTCGGACGCTGTAAGTTGATGTTAGCCTCAAGTCAGCGATCGTCCCAACCTCAGCCAACCTCGACGGATACTTCCTGCAACGATTCTTCTCGGAAATAGATGCCGTCGGAAAATTGTCAAAGAAGATGAAAGTTCTACGCCGCCTCGCCACTCTTCCTGAATCCTTCCAACCAGATCACAAGACTTGGGGCAAGACACTTTCTGTAGAATGCATGTTTCTCCAAGAACCTTGGCTTAACCATCAACCATCGTTTCATACCTTAAATGAATGAGTTTGCCTCGCAAACGATGCCAAGAAAAGCTACGGGGTGAAGCCTGCGGGAACTAGCTACCAAGGGCGCCCCGTCGATGTGTCGAATCTGGCGGCTCACGCTGGCCAAGATGTGGCTAAACGGTCGCCTCCCACATCCCGCCAATGAGAACAGACTGAAAATAATCAAGACGTGTCGGCTGTACGGCAGACTATCCCCTCAGCGGCTCACGGTCTTCAATCGGCGTCGCTAACGTGGGTGCCGGCCGTGCTCCAGTTTCTCGGACATCCGAGCTTACATGTCTGTGCCGGTGGCATCCAACCCAACCACACCTAACTCTCATTCGGGAGGCCGCACCTGATTCCCCTTCCAAAACAGAAATGGAGAGAAAAGAAGAGGTGGAAACTAATGCACATGTCGGCCTTCGCCACAATCCCGGTCTTTTCCAGATTGGCCTAGGACGCCGGCCTCCCGAGATCGATGTTGCACCAATCTAGCCCGCGTCTGTCGGTGGCGTTCTTTGACAGGAGCGCGAGGACCATGAATTATTCCTCAGACGACCGATGACGCGTCTCCGAAATGGAGGCCGTTCCTGAGGCTCGTTGGCTTAGCAGCGTCTTTTGCTCGAAGCTTACTAGCTGGGAAAAAGTGTCGAAGCTGTATCGTATGTTGCTTGTACATTGTCTTAAGTTTGAACAGCCGATTGGCACTTGACCACTGAAACGGCCTAGATCTCTTTTCCCAAGCTCCCGGACCGGCATCGGGAAGAAGTAGCCCCCGACACTAGATTCAATTTCTTCCATCCGCTCCGGGCAAATATGGCGGAACTCTTCTTCGATAGTTGTGGCTAAGCGTTCGCTCTATCAAACCAGTTTCGCTGCTTACCTTATGTAGTGGAGTCAAATGATCGAAGATTACCCAAGTATGTACGGAAGCCCAGGATACTATGTCCTTGGCTGTTCCGGCAGCAACATTATCTTTCTTCAACGCCGCAAGTGTCGAGCCAACAGACACGATAAAGTTTCCTGACCCGGGCTCTCGCCGCTGAAATTACTCCCAAACTTATCTGTTCCCCCGCTTCGTCTGCAACACCGTCCTTTCTTGTTAAAGCTTTGAAGGGAGAAAAAAGAGAGAAAAAGAATCTACAGAATTACATATCGAATAATCACACCATTGCAGCACCTACATCGCATATCATTACAGTGTTACCTTGTCTCTGACATCATAGGTATGCGGTTCGTTGTTGCAACTTTTCGATGTCCCGTTGAGGAACAAAGTCAGTCAGGCTTCTTCATGTACAAATCCAAGAAGTTTGAAGACTTGTTAACCTCAAATGCCGGAATAAAACAGGGCGCTCAAGTTCATTGGGTCGCCAAGAGCTTCAAGGCAGTCAGCTTACGTGCATACGATCTACATACAGCTATGTAACACCATGTTACTCCAGGCTGTGCTGCTGTGTGATTTAATGCTACGCTAGATTCACAGAAAAGCGGTGGGCGGCTAATCCAAGCCACAGTGGGCGCTATCTCCGTAGTTCAATTGGAGAAAATGGTCGCTTCTTGCATGCTGTTTGCGACATCGGGATTTAAAGAGGACTAGGGCGTTCTTTGAAGATAACGGGACATGCGGTAGGAAGGCTGGAAAGGAGACGGGATAGAACTCTATAATACTGCGTAGGGTTAATGCCTTTTGCTCCTCGAATGTTCGTTTAGTTCTGCAACACAAACCAACGATGGCGCCTGTCGTAGATACTGACAGAATTGGAGCAGACGCGATTGGACGCAGAATAGATGGCGCTGATGAAAAGACATTGATCACGTATTCAGAGGAATATGGCGAACAACAGCAGCCATCTGGTCTTGAGGTCCTCCAACCCAACTTCTAAGCATCTGTGTTCAAAGTCTAACAGCCTCGTAGCGATATATCAACCATTCCTCTGTTGTAAACTTTGGCGTAATCATACTCGCATCATGGGAGTCATTCGCCGTAACTTTCCAATTCGCGCTAGCGAACGGTGGCCCTGCCTCAATGTTCTACGGCTCAATCCTGGCTGGCTTCGGAGCTTGTGCCGTCGGCTTCTCACTCGCTGAGCTAGCGTCGATGTAGGCTCATTTGCCTTGGTGGAGTATCAAGATTCTCGCCGCTAACAAAGTCGAATAGTGATCCGACTGTCGGCGCGCAGTACCGTTGGTCTGCAAATCTTGCTCCTAGCGCTAATAGGTTCTGGGGTTTACTTCAAGGTACCTAGCTGCGTAGTTCCCTTGGAATATCAAAGTCTCTAGACTGACCAGCTATACAGGATGGATCACTACTGCTGCGTGGTGCTTCGCTTGTGGAGGACCACCGTCAATCTTAGCAAACATCATAACGTCCCTGGCCATCTTCAACTATGATAACTATACGCCAGAGCGGTGGCATACTAGTCTCATCATGATTGGTACCCTCGTCTTACCCTTTTTGTTTAATCTCTGGTTTCGAAAGTTTCTCAACGCGTTCGAGATAATTGGTGGTGTCTTACACATTGCTTTGTTCGTGGCATTCCTTGTTATTCTTGCTGCCCTTGGACAACGCAGCAGTTCCGATTACGTTTTTAAGACGCTTACATCTGACATCTCGGGGTGGAATAATCCCGGAGTATCATGGGGCCTGGGACTGCTGACGATTACGTTCTCTGTAACGGGATTTGACAGCGTCATACACATGAGTAAGTTGCTTACCCCAAGACTACATTAATCGGATTTTCAGGTGGCAGTTGTTAACCTAGATAATGATAGGCGACGAGGTCAAGAAGGCTAGAACACGCGTTCCACGAAGCGTTATCCTTGCCTGTGTCGTCAACTCAGTCATGCTTTTTGCGTTTGTTACGATCTTACTCTTCTACATCGGACCTCTGGACGACCTTTCTACAGCCCCTTTACCGCTCATCTACGTAATCTACAATGCGACGGGTTCGAAAGCCGCCTCTAACGCTCTGGTCTCTCTGGTAGCAGTCATTATCTTTTTCGCCTCCTTCAATATGTTGGCTTCAGTATCTCGTCTAGTATGGATGTTCGCGAGTGACAAGGGTTTGCCATTCTCCGGCTTTTTCTCATACGTAAGTCACTCTGACTCCCAGTTTCGATGCCAAAGCTCCTAGCGTGACATTTTATCACAGATCAGTCCTACTTTCAAGTTGCCAATGAATGCTTTGCTCCTCATTGCGGGCATAGTCACTTGTCTGTCCTTGATCTACATTGCCTCGGCCACAGCTTTCAACGCCCTGATTTCTCTCCAGGCTTTGGCTCTCCACGTTTCGTACTTTTTTCCGATCCTTTTTCTTTTACTACGCAAGATTCGCGGTCCGCCACCACCATACGGACCCTTCAAGCTAGGAGCTGTAGGCTCTCAGGTCAACATTTTTGCGCTCAGCTACTTGATCTACGTTGTGTTGTGGATGCCGTTCCCGCAAATTTTGCCAGTCACAAAGGACAACATGAACTACGCAGGTCCGATCTTTGGAGCAGTCTTGATAGGAGCGCTTGTCGATTGGTTTGTGAGCGGAAGGAAAAGGTTTCAAATGCCTCTGAGGAAGTATGAGTAGTCGACTCCATACATTGCTCCTCATCTGGAAACTTGTTTTTGCTGATGCTCACTACCTTTACTGAGTCTCGATTTTTGAGATCGACTCTGGGTTCCTGTACTCAAGCTTCTTGAGTGGCAAGCTTGCTAGACCAGACCGCTCACCTCGGGGTAGCTTTTCCAACACATCCTGGGTTTCAAAAGACATTTACATTACTGAGTGCATGCACATGTTCTATGCGACTCCCCGATTTTGCTCACACACGCAATGTGCTCAGAGCCCCAACACCGAAAACAAGCCAGGCACCTAGGTCCACAGTAACCATGCGCAACCAGTTGGCATTCAACCACTTATCCAAAATTCCATTTACATCGTCATCGTCTTTTGCCTCGGCTAAAGCCTTCACGTGGGGCGCAACAGCCGGAACATAAAGCAAGTGTCCCGCCGACATGGCCGCGCCAGCAGCGTACCACCAATAAGTGCCTTGCGACCTTAGTGCGGCTGGCTGGCTGTAGAGATTTGCGATACCTGTGCTCGTCGATACGGCGATGAAGCCTAGGACGAAGAAGACGCCGCGAGAAAAGAAGGTGTTGAAGTAGGGCTTCAACATAGGCGCGCTCTTCTTTCGAAGCTCGGATGTGTCATTGAAAAGACTGAGGAAAAAATGCTGATCCCAAGCGAATAGCAGAGTGCAAGTTGACGAGACTAGAGGTGCGACGCGGAGTGCGACCAAGGGATCGAAGAACTGGCCCGATGCCATCTTGTCGGTCTTGGACAATTGGGTGGAGGATTTGTCGGAAAATATTAGCTGAAGGTCTCTGCCTTGATTGGAAACAAGACCCAATGAAGGCAATGTGTTGTTTCCGATTAAGCGCCTTTCGCTGTCAACTTAACACTTGGAATGATGTTATTGTTTTTAGATGGTTGAAAGGAGTTTTGCTTACTTCTCGACTTCTTAAAAACTCCTAGGAACGGGATTTTCGGCGACTTTCCCCGCCGAAGGATTTCGTGGCGCCATCTTCAACTCTGTTAGAGGCGGGGAATCGCCCGATTAACGTGAGAATCGTAAGCGCCGAGCTTTCAGTGAGATAGGTCATTTTTGCGTTCGGCCGATCAGTCTCTCCATGAGTCTTGAATCCGTAGACATTCTATGACCGATAACATCAATTCATATCCGCGGTCGGCGAGGCACGGTATCTCCGAGCATACCCCACTGCTCGGCAGCAGCCGGAAGGTGGGGCCGATGCCGGTCCAAGGAGTATCAGAAACGACGCCCCGAGACATGAGGCATTGAGTTCAAATGGTGTGCCTTCTTCTTAGTTATGGCCAGTAGAAGAGTCATTCGCCTCCTCGCGTCAAAGACTTTGTCTTCCGGCCACGGCCACACAAGGATACGCACCCCCTATTCGCTGGCATGGACGCCTCACTCTTCCAATGTCGGGGCTAAGCAACTTGGCACTGCTGTCTGCCATTCGTTTGTATGCCGCCCCGCGCCGTCCAAATATGCAAGTACATGCAGGATACCTAGAACCAAAGTCTTAGTCGGGGAGTCACACAAAATGCGGAGATCCAGTAGCCCGGATCGATTTCTCATCGGGTGATGTGGAAAAAGCACCGAAGCCAAGGAAGAGTGGAATTAGGCAGACAAGGCGTCCGCTTTGGACAGCAAACGGTCTGCGTCTACACCTCATTCTCAAGCGAATAAAAGCCTCTTGTTTCATTCCCTTGGGATTATGAGGCTGATTTACGCTGTACAAACGGTTCGCTTCGGCCACAAGGCCGGTAGGGTTGCTGATCTTGGTCGCAACCCCTGCCCGAGACAATTTGAGGTAGAGTGAAGGGCGAAGAGCTATGTTTCTAGGCATTACTTGCTGATGAGGCAGACTTTGTACGTATCATTCAAATGACACGAATCAGTACGATGCGTAAAAACAACATGGTACATCTGACGAATTACTTTCGATTTCCGACTCATATCTAGCACCGGGAACACGTAAGAAGGGTGAACAGGTGTGGACACCACTATCCCTTGACTGTTTGGAGGCATTCTTTGTTGGCTGCAGAATACTGCCGTAGTCTGGCTTCTTGCCAGCCTCAGAAATTTGCATCGCATCTTAGAGGTAGAGCGGGGCAGATGATGGTGGACGGCAATTGCCACGAGCCTCCAGCCAAGTCGGAGTCATGGTGATGCTGCCTAGAATAGTCTCTAGGGCTTTCCAGCTATGTGATCAAGGAATGCGGCCATCAAGCTGACAGCGGCTCTAGGCCAACGCGGTGGGTGTCATGTGTTTGCCTTGTCGGTCAGAGAAAAGTACAGAGGGGCTGGCGTAACCAACAGGATAGTGCACGCAAATTACCTGCATGGTGCAGTGCTTTCCTTCAACGGATAGGTAGATCAAAGTAGCAGAAGGCTGTCATACAGTCACCCATATTTCGCAGGGATTCAGTAATTACATAAAGAGGCGAGTCACCCGATTGCGGCTCCAAAGCTAGCAAGGAAGCCTTGATTGAGATGCTCCAACGTGCTGTCGAGCGCTTCGATATTCCATCGTTATTTTCTCTGGGCTAAGGCTCATTGAAAGAAAGTGACCCGATTCCGCACCGTCTCATGAAGATAATCTTTATTTCTCTCAAACACACGTGTCAAAGGTGAATACCATCCCAGGGCGAAATAACGAGCAGCAAATTCACCTCCCCCGCGACCAGCCGCAGGGGGCAGCATTTCCACGAAGAACCGTTCGAAAGTCTCAGGCCAATAGTACTGTCGCCATTCCTAGTTGCACATAAAGTCTTAATCCGCTGCAGAGGATTTTCTCACTCCTTCCACCACCTCATCTACTATTAACTCCTACCGAGCCACACATCAACACGTCATCAACCCCTCACCAGGCTTCATCAGCATGGCATCTGCGGATCAAGGCATGACCGACCGGCAATCAGACAATACGCTAGCTGAACCTGCCATCCCCAACATGGACGCAAGCAAAGACTCTACCGTGGTCGTCGTCGCTTCAGCCTCACCTTCACCAAGCAAAGCATCCAAGAGCGCGAAAGCGGCCAAAAAGGATAAGAAAAAGGCTGTCAAGTCTAAGTCAAAGAAGCAGCTCAAGAAGGCAAAGAAGCACAAGAAAACAGCCGACCTAGACACTGATGACTCATCTGATGATTTGACTGACGACAGCGACTCAGAGACTGAAGGGAGTTCTTTCGATTCGGAGGACAGTTCTTCTGAATTGTCCGAAAGTGACAGTGAGCAGGAGCACATCAAGTCGAAGAAGAAATTCAGCGGCAAAGGCAAGAGTGGCCGATCATCGAAGAAGCAAAAGCATCAGTCACTTAGGAAGCGCACTCCATCCTCCTCTTCCTCCTCTTCTGACTCCGAGTCTTGCGGAACTGTCGAAGACTCGGACGATGGTGCACCTGGAAGAGGCGGTGGAATTACCAGGGTCGCAATGACACCTCACCAATTGGCACTCTTCAGACAGATGCAGGCTGGCCCCCCGCTCTATCCAAAGAGCAATAGTCTTGGTAATTCTGGCCTCAGTCACGGCTCCTCCATGACTGGCAACAAATCTGTAAAGCTCGGGAAGTTTCCTCCACCGCCTGCGCCCTCAAAGAAAAGATCCTCCAAGCTAGACTTCAAGCGAGTTGATCAGGTCTGGGACACCACGATTCACAACTACAGACTTCAGGAGACATCGGCGACCACCTCTAACTCGCAGTACGACGGATATGTGCTGCAAGTCAGGCGTACCTTTGACTGGGAAGGCAAGTACCAGACTACCTTCCTCGATGTCAAAAGCAAGGTCTTGCGCGAGTGTCTTCAAGAGGTGATTGGCAACATAAAAGGAATTAGCTTGGTCGATGAGACTCCCAAGCTGAATCCCAACATGGTATTCTTGTAAGTTCCCACGATCTAATCTGGAATTTTTGGAGCTAAGTGAACCCTACAGGTACTTAGAAGACTTGCGAAAGTACCGCAAAGCGTTGAGCAAGATTTCGACGACGGACTTGAACAAGAAGGAGCGCAAGAAGTTCAGGAAGGACATCGAGAACAAGCGCCAGCATCTCAAAGTGCTTCTCAAGTATCTTGACAGGGACTATGCCGAAGTCAAGAAGAGGTATAAGTTCAAACCTCGATGATATTGAGAAATCATTGCTAACCACTCATCAGCCTCTACCCCATGCTGGAGAATGGTCTGATCACCTTCGATCTTCTCTGGGCTCTTTTCAAACCCAACACGCTAATCTACACCACCACGTACGGCTCCTCCGATGAGCCTCGAGTCTTCAAGGTGGAGCAGGCGGAGAAGATGAGCAGCATGACAAAGGGAGAGTTCTACCTTCTTGACGGCAAGGTGAGTACCTTTCTAAACATCTTTCATTCCTTAATGTACAGCACTAATTGTCTTTTAGTACTTGGAGTTTGATGGAAAGCAATTCGGGTATGGGGCTCTCTGCGAGGAGATCCCGGAGTTCCGCGGCGCTAGAAAGATCAGTAGCCTTAACGCCTTCCCACTTGACTTCCATAAGGAGAAGGAAGCCATCAAGACTACCATTATCGAACGCGGTAAGAGGTTCGTCAACCTCGGCGGTGTACACTACCGAAGCCACCACGGCTTGGCGTACTACAAGAAGAAGAAGAGCATCATCAAGGTCAACATCAACGGACGCATCATGGTGGACCCCTCTGTTCACCGCAGGATCAACCCGAACTACCAAGTCTCTGCCGTCAGGCCCAAAGACCACGACATCGTCTCTGATTCGGAAGACTCTGATGACGACGAGAAGCCTTGCGAGAACGACGATTCAACCTCGGAGAACGGGTGTGGTACTGGTGACGATGCGGGCTGTGGGAAGATGGTCACGAAGGTTGTTCGCGATGCCAAGGGTAAGGTTCGCATGCTCCGAATTCCCAAGTCCATGGTCGAGGACCCTGTTGTCCCGGAGAAACCGCTTGAGCGTGTCGACGAAGCCAAGACCGGCGAGGAGTCCAACGAGGAGCAGGATAGTGACAAGACGAAGAAGACGCTGGAGTTCTCTGACGAGGACTACCTTATTTCGTCTCCTGTTGTGTTGGGATTCTCCTTCTCCGAGAAGCTCTGGCTTGAGTTCACCGTCTCCGGAGTCAATGAAATTCAGTGGAATGACGGTGCGTATGAGTCTTTAGTCCTTGAGCCGAAGCAGAAAGACATCGTCAAGGTAAGTAATGCCCTAACCCAAGCCGATGTAAAGAAGGCACCTAACATTTTTGCAGGCTCTCGTTGAGTCGCACAAGTATCATGCTACCGAAAGCATTGATGATGTCATTCAAGGCAAAGGCAAAGGCCTTGTCGGTGAGTCCTGCCATCTTCTCAACCTTAGTAGCACTCCCTTACTGACCTCTTCCCAGCTGTCCTCCACGGACCACCTGGAACTGGCAAGACTCTCACAGCCGAAGGCATCAGCGAACTCCTCAAGTGTCCCTTGTACATGGTTTCTGCTGGGGAGCTAGGCACCGACTCTCGATACTTAGAGACGGAGTTGCAGAAGATCCTCGACATCTGCCACGCCTGGGGCGCCATCCTCCTTTTGGACGAGGCCGATGTGTTTCTCGAAAAGAGAAATCTCCACGAGATCTCACGCAACGCATTGGTTAGTATCTTCTTGCGCCAGCTCGAGTATTTCCAGGGCATCCTGTTCTTGACAACCAACCGAGTCGAGGTAAGTCACGCGACGGGACTCTAACCCACCACATCACCTTCAACACTCATTGCTAACACTCTTACAGACTTTTGATGATGCATTTCAATCACGTATCCACATCGCGCTGCGTTACGACAGTCTCACGCAGAAGGCCAAAAAAGCCATCTTCAAGATCTTCGTAGAGCGGGTACGTGTTCTGGAGAAGGTTGACCTCAAGCCCTTCACCGAGGATGACTACGAAAGTCTTGCGAAACATGACCTCAACGGTCGCCAGATCAAGAACACTGTCCGGACCGCCCAGGCCTTGGCCGTCAACAAGGGTGAGCCGCTTGGGATGGAGCACATCTCGCAGGTCTTGGATGTCCAGAATAGCTTCGACCTTCATCTCAAGGGTGGGGAGTCATACAAAGATGCCATGAGAAGCTACTACTAAAGTGTTTGACACTGTAGGTGTGGACTGTGGAAAGGTACACCTAGTTGTAGAGAAGTGAGGTATTTTGCAGACGTTGTTCATGTTTCTTCTTTCAGTCTGTCGTCAGGACAAGATTACTCTGTATCGCTGCACAACTAGCAAAACCTATCATCCTGTTTCGTGACCACTCACCTTGTTGTACTGAATAACTAATGTGCATTGTTCTGCATCCATGGGAGCATGGATGGCCTTGTTCCACGTACATCGTAGGATTATTCTGATCTTGGCGACGATGAGTAGCTGCGGCACACAACGAAGTCAACCATTCATCACGGCTCATCAAACAATCTAGATTTAAAAAGATGAAAAATGAATATAATTTTCAAAAGGTTGAGGATAATCCTCAAAGAAGAATGATGGGGTCACTAGACTAGAGCTACTGGCTAACTAATTGCAGCTTACACCCTTTCAGCAATCTTAAACGCTGCCCACCAGGGGCCTTGAACAACAAGATTCGTGTTCCAATCCCCGAAGCCGTATACGAGCATCGATGGCGATCACATCTTATGCCTGGAACTCGACCTCGCGCTTGGCGGCCGGAGCAGCGGCCGGGGTAGAGTTGGTGGCGGCACCGCCAGGGGCAATCTGGATGGGCACAACACCTCCGAAGGGGCCGGCGCCGTTGTTGTTGGCAATCTTGACCAAGCAGACGTTGCTCTGACCACCCATGGTACCAGTGCAGGTGGTACCAGCGGGCACGGAGAAAGCCATGGGCTGAGGGAAGCTGTGTTAGTGAATGATACTTGAACGTGGAGTACAGTGCTACTTACGAAGTCCTTGTTGACGTTGGAAGCACGCTTCTCAATGACGCTCATGGCCCGCTCCCAGAGGGAACGCTTGCCGCCAGGAACCTGGCCATTGGGCCTGATGTTACCGTTCTTGCCGGGAACTTGCTGAGTGACCGTAAGCTCAGTGCCTTGGGAGAACGCGCCGGTACCGGTGGAGTCCAGAACGGCGCGGAGAGGACCGGCACCGTCGGTGGTGACGACGTGGAAGGTGCCGGAGATGCTGCCGCCAGTGGAGGAGACCTGCGGGAGGGTGTCGCCGGACAGAGCCATGGCCTGGGAGATATCGGCAGCCTGGACCTTGCCGCCACCGGTGGTCTTGCCCATGCCGTCGGTCATGATGTTCTTGCTCTTGAAGACAGTAGTGTCGAGCTCAGTCTGAGTTGGAACAAGTCAGTCTCCTGGGCTCCTGGTACTTTGGCTATGATGTGTTCGTAAACTTACCTTGCGGTTGGGGCCGGGGCCGGGAACAACGCCACCCTGAATAGCGAGAGCAGTGCCATTGCCACCGAGATCACCAGTGACCTGTGCAACCTTGCCGTGTGCGGCAACAGAAGTAGCTGCTGCGAGAGCGAAGATGATCGTCTTGGAAACCATTTTGTGAGAGTTGTGGGGATTTTGAAGTATGAATAACTTGATTAGAGCGATGATTCGGATCCGAGCCGGATTAGTTTGGAAAGAAGATTCTGAATAGAAGTGAAAGAGTTGGAAATAAGTTTAAATCCGCGCGAATCAATCGGCGATGAGATGAGAATGGAATACAAACGAAGAAGTGAAGCTGCTGAATAGAGAAGCGGAAACCACAACCTAGAGGCGGACGATCATTAGACTTTATACTTGATTCTCCAGACCTTGACGTCCATGATGGAGAAAGTCTGCGAAACAGCAGTACAGACAGGCCCCAAAGGCGTACGGTAAATCTCCGCGGCTACTGTTCGTATGGGTTCGGGTTGGTGATGGCCATGACTTGGGACTGCGTTCGCTAGCCAGACGTCGTCCCAAACGCGACCCTATCCCAAAGCAGTAAAAATCCAGGAACGAGACGAGCAGCCCCATCGACGTCTGAGGCAGGTGAAACGTCGCGACACCTTCACCTCCCTTCGCGACGTCCAACGTGTGGTGGGGCGGGGGCCGACAATATTCGGTGTAAGGCTTCAATAGCGACCAGGTGTCGGCCAATGTCCGCAGATTCAGCCAACATTGGACGACATCGATGTTGACGCCCGACGTAAGGAGCAACTTATTGGATGACTTTGACACTGGCAGGGCATAACACTCCGCTCCTATACGGCTTGACCTGACAACCGCAGGTCTGAGTGTTGAGGAGCGAAGCCTCTCTCCCGCCCTCACTCAGTTGAGCGTGTCACTCGGACTCAGAAACATTGAAAAGCAACACCGCAAAAGGCACATCTTCGGTCGATTGCATCGGGAGGTTTCCACTACCACGACTCGTTTGACGTATTTCAGCTGCGAGCGCGCGAGAACTCAAACCAACTTGTGCGCATTTCACAGAGTTTTTCCCGACATGTAAACGTATGCGTCTCTGAACTCAGTCAGCCAAACAGATCTACCTCAAGGATCCTCCATCTTGATCTGCCCCCGCTCCTCACGGCGGCTGCACCACGCGCCCAACCGAACCGAGAGCATCACTGACAAAGGCGCAGTCACCGTCGGCTGGCATAACCGACTCGGGTCGCTGCCGCCTAGCATGTCGGCCGCGGCCACCGCGCAGCCATCTCCCCTGAAAAGAAGGGGAAAAGAAGACCGCAAAGCTTTGTGAAACCCGTCTTGGGCCCGTCTGGACGTGGGTCACCGCTGCAGCGACCACGCCGTGATAGGCCCGAACGCTTGATGTTTCACTTGCCAAGGATAGGATCTCCCTGCGTGCCTGGTTCGCGTCCGCCACTTGCGGCTGATGTGGCCGTCAGTGGTGAGCGTAGCGCTGACACATGCATTCGAGATAGGACGAAGCTGAAGGCGATGATGAAAACGAAGGTGCAACGCATTGCACGAGGGGAGGATTGGACGGCGCTCGCGTCTGGTGACATCTGTCACCTGCCATCTGTCATGCCCAGAACTCTGTGCAGGCTTCTCCTTGAGATGGCATGCTCTCAGACATTTCGAACAGTGAGACCTCGGCGGGAGGCTTCGTAAGTGGTCGGGCTCTACCGAAGCTCAATTTGGTACAGGCGATCGAGTGTCGGGGCGATGACACGCATCATCCTAAACAGGAACATCAACGTTGAAGAAGTTGAGCGGACCAGATTGAAGAAGCAAATAAGCGTGGAAGCCAAGTCTTGGTGTTTAGAGAGTTCCCAATCAGCTTGACACTCCCGTGTCTCGCCAAGGCACGGGAAGCTCATTGTTTCCCATCAACTTGAGAATGCAAGAAAGGCTTGTGTGGTTTTGTCTTCCGCATTCGCACGCGGCCATACATTCTTTGGTTCCCATGCGGCTGATCCCCCGAATTCACCTGCCGATCTCCCAAAGGAAGAAGATCAAAACACCAGCATTTTTTTCTTTCGTCTTTCCAATCGGTAAGACTTACCTGCTTGAATGACTTGGCCCCACCCTTGCCGCGGATGGATCGGCAACTTGATACACGTGGAGACGATTCTGGTGTAAAACACGACCTCGCGCCTCGCGCTCCTTTGCGGAGAGCTGTGTCGGCAATTCCGCCCATATCATCATCGTATTGGCCGGGGCGATGAGCCAAAATCCTTTTTGCAATGCTATAATAGCCATGAAAAGGGGGTTGAAGCCATTGGTCATACTCGATGGAGGAGGTTCTGGAGGATGAAAAGAGACTCCCAGTCTCTCATCCCCCGCAACATGAAGCCAGGGGTCGCATCATCGTCCAGCGAATGCAAGACAACAACCAGCCAGCGGGATGAGAAATTCAGACGACTTTGGCGCACGCATGAGACCAAACAATGTGGGCTGTCTGAATTTCCCCCAGGTGGTGATGTCGCTTTGTCCGTGCAGGGCAACTTTCATCTGTCTCCTGAGTCCTGGCTCCTGGGCTGTCTTCATCGCAACGCCATTTCCGATGACCATCTCTGCCGGCACTTTCACTCAGTCCCGCATGCTCCCGATTTCCTCCTCGCCCAGTCTCCTGCAATCTCTCTCTGCGACGTTAGATCTATCTGATCAGCCGCACCGAGAGGAAGATATGATCTTACAAAATGGCTGGCTGGTTTTAGTACCCGAGGAAAGGGAAATTGTCCCGGTAAATTGGGTTCGAAAGGCTGGGAGCGAGCCGCGGCAACACCTGAATGCCCTAAAAAGGGGTCAAAGAGTCAGCACCTCAAGTCGGTGATCCAACGCGCATTGGAATCGGCCTGCCGCCCTGCATTGCGACCATCACAGGACTATTTTTTTGAGTTCACCGCCTCTGACCTACAAAACCTTCTGGATCATGAT